ATGCCTTATACAACCACATTCGTCGAATCCGACTGCACAGAATGGTTCCAGCCATATCCATTCAGAGACTACTTGGGCACATGGCTGCTGCAGTTGCCATTGTCCCGTATGCCAGGCTGCGTATGCGGCCCATGCAGTTGTTTTTCAACGCTTCATTTCACCCGCAACGGGATCCTTCCACCAAGCTGATCCGGATTCCGTTTGCGATTCTTCATACTCTGACTTGGTGGACCATCCCAGGCAACCTGTCTACTGGCATCCCATTTCGACCGCCTCAGCCAACAACAACCCTGTACACCAACTCATCCCTCCTGGGGTAGCATGTTCGGGACTTCGGGTCCAAGGTACTTGGAACCGACGAGAAGCAAGGAAGCACATCAACTTCCTCGAATTTCTGGTAATTTTCAACGCCCTCAAGGTTTTCGAGACTGTGCTATGCCATCAAGTTGTCCAGATTGCAGCAGACAACATACCTGCTGTCTTCTATATCAACAAGCAGGGCGGCACAAAATCACCGGCCTTAACACGCCTATTGATGGACATTTGGGATTGGTGCATACCGAGGAGCATAATGCTCCTGGCGGTTCACCTGGCAGGAACCGACAACATCGAAGCAGATACGTTGAGCAGACAGATGTCAACAACCCACGAATGGGAGTTGGACAGATAAGTTTGCGAGAAACTATTCTGTTTGTGGGGTTACCCAGACACGGACCTGTTCGCCACCCGGGACAACAGAATGTGTGCCCTGTACTGCTCCAGAGCGGGCATCGGATTGGGATCGATGGGGGATGCTCTTATGATCCCTTGGAACAGCATGACTGTTTATGCGTTCCCTCCGATCCCACTTCTAACAAAAGTGGTGGTGAAAATAGCCCAAGACAACGCCACAGGGATATTGGTAACTCCGTGGTGGCTGAGGCAGCCATGGTTTGCCACTCTTTTGCGACTATCCAGAGGAACGTTTCTTCGCCTACCAATTCTTCCTCAAGTGTTAGCACAACAAGACGGAGCAATCCGGCATCCAGATATAACCTGCCTGAAGTTGACGGCATGGTGGATCAGCTAAGCCATTTCACTGAGTCGATACCGACGACACCTTACCCTATGGAGAACTCTATTCAGCGAACTGTACATGCGGCTCCTACCTCAGATCTGACAGCAATTGCTTTGGTACCGACGGCTACTGACCAAGAAATTCAGACGATTCTTGAATCTGCATTGAGACCGTCCACTCATCGCTCTTATGCGGCTAAATGGAAAAGATTCTCATCTTTTGCAGAGTGCCACTCCTTCCTGGGATGGCTTCAGTCGACAATATCTTGCAATTTCTCTTGGAACTGTATCACTCGGGACTTAGACCATCATCCATCAAAGTTTATGCAGCTGCCATATCCCATTACCGTGGCGCTGTCCACGGCTTATCAGTTTTCTCTCAACCGCTGGTTCAACGCTTTATTAGGGGATTATAGAACTTACATCCATCTATCCGCCCTGCTATGCCAACGTGGAGCCTTTCTTAGTACTCCAAGCGCTTACTAAGCCACTGTTCGAACCTTTGGCAACTGTGGACCTACGCCTCGTGTCGTGGAAAACGGCTTTCCTCGTAGCAGTAACATCAGCTCGGAGAGCAAGTGAAATTTGTGCTCTTCGCATAGACCCACCATTTCTGAATTTCCATAAGGAAAAAGTTGTTCTTTGGATGGATTCTTCCTTTCTCCCTGAAGCGGCTACACCGTTCCACTTGAGTCAAGACATTGTTTTGCCGGTGTTCTTTCCATCGCCTTCGAATTCGATAGAACGGGCCCTACACACACTTGATGTTCGCCGTTGCTTGGCCTTTTACAGATCCCGTACTGAATCCTTCCGTAGTACTAATAAACTCTTTGTTAAGTACTCCGAGCACGACAAGGGATCGCCAATCACATCTCAAAGACTTTCGAAATGGATCGTCCAGACTATCGTCTTGGCTTACCAGCTATCAAACATAGACTTACCTGTCTCTCCAAGCGGTCACTCCACACGAGCAGTAGCGACTTCGTCTGCCTTTGCTGCAGGGGTCCCGCTTCAGGATATCTGCAAAGCTGCAACGTGGGCTGGTCCGTGTACCTTCGCCAAGCATTACCAGCTTGACGTGCGCGCCAGGCAGGACTGCTCTTTCAGCAGAGCTGTTCTTTCATCTGTTCTTCGATGACACCTCCCTCCTCCGAGTTTGGTAAGCTTGCGAATCACCCATATGTGTGATGCACAGAGGCCACGACGAAGAAAAGCAGGTTGCTTACCTGTAACTGATGTTCTTCGAGTGGCCATCTGTGCATTCACACAACCCACCTGCTTTTTTCTCGGTATCATACTCTAATATTCATCGGTACCATTGGGATATGATGATACTTCTTGTTGATTTTATTCTCAACCTCTAGAGGGCGAATGTTCGGTCTTCAAGACTGAGTAAAATGGTGGACACTCCGCTCTATTTATACCACTGAGGGGGAGGGGAGCGGAGTTTTTCCCGCCAAAAACCGTTAGCTTTCTAATCTTCCGGCCTAGGCACTGCGCAGGCGCAGCACCCATATGTGTGAATGCACAGATGGCCACTCGAAGAACATCAGTTACAGGTAAGCAACCTGCTTTTCTCGGTCCACATACTGCTGGAGCCTAGCTTGTAGGATTTTGAGCATAACTTTGCTAGCATGTGAAACGAGTGCAATGGTGCGGTAGTTTGAACATTCTTTGGCATTGCCCTTCTTTGGGATTGGAATGTAAACTGACCTTTTCCAATCCTGTGGCCACTGTTGAGTTTTCCAAATTTGCTGGCATATTGAGTGTAGCACTTTTACTGCATCGTCTTTTAGGATTTTGAGTAGCTCAGCTGGAATACTGTCGCCTCCACTAGCTTTGTTGTTGCTCAGACTTCCTAAGGCCCATTTGACTTCACATTCCAGGATGTCTGGCTCGAGGTCAGTGACCACCCCATCGTGGTTATTAGGGACATGAAGCTCTTTCTTGTATAGTTCTTCTGTGTAATCTTGCCACCTCTTAATATCTTCTGCCTCTGTTAGGTCCCTGCCATTTTGGTCCTTTATCATGCCCATCTTTGCATGAAACGTTCCCTTCATACCTCCAATTTTCTTGAAGAGATCTCAGGTCCTCCCTATTCTATTGTTTTCTTCTATTTTTTTGCACTGTTCATTTAAGAAGGCACTCTTATCTCTTCTAGCTATTCTCTGGAATTCTGCATTCAATTGTTTTTATCTTTCTCTTTCTCGCTTGCCTTTCACTTCCCTTCTTTCCTCAGCTATTTGTAAAGCTTCCTCAGACAGCCATTTTGCTTTCTTGCATTTATTTTTCTTTGGGATGGTTTTAGTTGCTGCCTCTTGTACAATGTTGTGAACCTCTGTTCATAGTTCTTCAGGCACTCTGTCTATCAGATCTAATTCCTTAAATCTATTTGTCACCTCTATTGTACATTCATCAGGGATATGATTTAGGTCATACCTGAGTGGCTTAGTGCTTTTCCCTACTTTCTTCAACTTAAGCCTAGATTTTGCAACCAGAAGCTCATGATCTGAGCCACAGTCAGCTCCTGGTCTAGTTTTTACGGACTGGATAGAGCTTCTCCATCTTTGGCTGCAGAGCACATAGTCAATCTGATTTCTGTGTTGACCGTCTGGTGATGTCCATGTGTAGAGTCATCTGTTGGGTTGTTGGAAAAGAGTGTTTGCTATGACCATCGTATTCTCTTGACAAAATTCTACCAGCCTGTACCCTGCTTCATTTTGTACTCCAAGGCCAAACTTGCCTGTTATTCCACTTATCTTTTGGCTCCCTACTTTAGCATTCCAATCCCCCATGATGATAAGGACATCATTTTTTGGAGTTAATTCTAGAAGGTGTTGTAGGTCTTCATAGAATCGGTCAACTTCAGCCTCTTCAGCACCAGTGGTTGGGGCATAGACTTGGACTATTATGATGAGATTATTCTGTCATTTTGGAGGTTGTATCTCAGTACTGCTTTTCCTACTCTTTTATTGACTATGAAAGCTACTCCATTTCTTCTGAGGAATTCTTGCCCACAATAGTATACCTGATGGTCATCTGAATTAAATTCACCCATTCCTGTCCATTTTAGTTCACTGATTCCTAAGATGTTGATGTTCAGTCTTGTCATCTCTTGTTTGACCACATCCAGCTTGCCTTGATTCATGGATCTTACATTCCAGGTTCATATGGAGTATAGATCTTTGCAGCATCGGACTTTCCTTTCACCTCCAGATACATCGGCAACTGAGTGTCCTTTTGGCTTTGACCCAGTTGCTTCATTCTTTCTGGTGCGACTAGTACTAGCCCTCCGCTCTTCCCCAGTAGCATACTGGACACCTTCTGACCTGAGGAGCTCATCTTCTGGCATCATATCTTTTTGCCTTTGGTACTGTCCATGGGGTTTTCATGGCAAAGATACTGGACTGGGTTGCCATTTCCTTCTCCAGTGGATCACGTTTTGTCAGAGCTCTCTGCTATGACCTGTCCGTCTTGGGTGACCTTGCACGGCATAGCTCATAGCTTCATTAAGCTATGCAAGCCCCTTCGCCATGACAAGGCAGTGATCCATGAAGTAGTCCTTGCAGTTAAAGGTGTTTGTTTAAAACTTATTCAAGATCACAGACTTGGGCAGCTGGCAATGATAATGCACTGCTATACTGGGTGCGGAAACAACTGTCTTGCAATTCAAATCCATTTGTCTTTTGTCTGTCAGAGTTGCTATAATTATTTATTCCATTTTTGTAGCACTGTAACTGAAGCTTTCTGAGCCCTCTGGTTGAGAAAGTGTGCTTGGATCATTCAGTCAAAACATTGCATGTGTTAATATTTTGAGATTCTCCTGAGGGAATTTCCAGCTCCAGCTCCTGTTATGCTATGCATGCATGAAGAAGTTCTGGGCGTGGGGAGGAGATGCTTTCCTGGGAGCTGCTTCTCTCCTGTACGTCCTGTTTCCCCTGCAGCACGCAGAGGTCCGTCTCAAGTGCTTGCTTGCACTGCAAGGGTTGTATGGGAGCCAGGAGCGGGCAGCCCGAATGGAACTCTTCACCAGCCGCTTCAAGGTAAGGGGTCCCCCGATCCCCCAAACTCAGACCCACCCCGTCACTCCACAGCACAGATTTTGGCACTGCAGCTTTTACCATCTTGGGATACCTCCCTGAGCGCTCTTCTGACTTCCCTGTGTTTTTAGCATGTGGTTTACTATCAAAGGTGTTCGCTGTGTCTACCCCCTTCCTTTGTTTACGTGCTTAAATTAGCTTGGGCTGGCAGCAGGGTCCTGGCCTCTGCTTTTGGTGCTGCCGAGTCCCTCTGCTGTCTCAATTCTGGTGAAATTTCTTTAGTACTTTCTTACCTTGATTGCTGAAAACCGGTAAAATTCACACTCCAGCAGCTCCACTTCTCAGCATGCCTCTGAGTCTCATGTGGGCCCCAAGCAGTCCTCAGAAAGGAAGTCGGCAGCATGGAGGGAGCAGCTGTGCTGATTTCCTGCCACTGGCGAGTCTTTTCAGACTTTGTCTTTTCAGCTGGATATGAGGATGGTGCTCAATGTGGGGGATTTGACTCCTCTGGCCATTCAGATCGCTGCCTGCAGAGATTCAGACGGACAGTGACTTTTCCCCTTTGCGCGGGTGGGGGATCTGTTAAGATGGCCCTCCCTAAAAGGCGAGTGGATCTGCATAGCTGAAACCTGGTGTGTGCCGACAGTTGCATAGGTATGATGCTGCACATCCAGTTGCAGTATTGCCCAGAGGGCTGGGGAGGGGGGTTGACGAGCATTTGTATAGATTCAGTCTCTCTTGCCAGGTTTCCTGTCCCCTCGGGTGAAGGCGCCCTCATAGAATCATAGAAAAATAGAGTTGGAAGGGGCCATGAAGGCCATCGGGCCCAACCCCTTGCTGTTGCAAGACACCAGTTTACACAATCCCACTCAAATGACTGTCCAGTTTCTTTTTGAATGTCCCGGTGTGGGAAAGCCCACAACCTCTCTAGGCAGTTCGTTCCGCTCTCCCATTGCTCTGACATTGAGGGAACTTTTCCTGATAGTGAGCCTGAATCTGGGTTGTTGCAGCATGAATAGAGTATTCCGTGTCCTGCACTCCAGTATGAGCGAGAAGAGATCCTCAGCTTCTTCTTTGTGACAGCCTTTGAAGTACTTACAGAGGCATATCATGCCCCTCAGTCTTCTCTTCTCAAAGCTGAACATGTTCAGTTCTCTCAGTCTCTGTCCTCACAGGGCAATGTTTCCAAACCCTGGATCATTCTTGTTGCCCTCTGAACCCTTTCTAGTTCTTCTATATCTTTCTCAAATCTTGGTGCCCAGAACTGAACACAGTAATCCAAATGAGGTCTAACTAGTGAGGAGCATAGGGGAGCTACAATTTCTCATTCGTATTTAGCTTGTTGACCACAATAACTCCAAGGTCTTTTTCATTTTTGCTGAGTCACGTATTCCCCATCTTGTATCAATGGATTTGGTCTCGTTTTTCTAGGTGGAGGCCTTGGCACTTCTCCCTATTGAATCTCTTTCTGTTGATTTCAGCCTAGTGTTCAGGCTTATCAAGATCATCTTTAGCTTTGCTAAAGTCACAGTATTAAATGCCCACAGTGTTCCCTATGTCTATTTGGGAGGTTACCCAGTCAAACCATGGGATTAAATTCACCTCCAGATACATCGGCAACTGTGTGTCCTTTTGGCTGATAGGATTTATTTTTGAAAAATCCATGTTGGCTTTTATTAATCACTGCATTTTCTTTGAGGTGCTTACAGACTAATTTTTAAATCAGCCCTCTTGGTTAACCTCCTCGTCTGAGTCACCTTGGTTGCCTCTGCAGAAGTTCCATGCTTAACCCTCAGGCAGATGCTCAAGTGGGGGAACCGCACAAGTAGGACATGAATACAACAGCACCCCCTTGCTCCCGGTCTGGAGCAGTGGGTCATGCTGCCCCTGATACTGGGTTTGGCCTTTCGTCAGCAGATCTTGTGAGCAAGAGTTTTTATTCAGCTGGGATCTACCCATATTTGTTATTTGTCCCTTAAAGCTTAACAGATTTATTATGTCAGAAACACGTGTATTATTATTATTATTATTATAACATTTCTATGCCGCCCCTTGCTGAAACCTCGGGGCGGCTTACAACATGATAAAATACATTGAAATACAATAGTACATAATAAATTACCATTAAATATAACAATACAAAAAATACATTGATTTACAAATACAAAATTAAAATTATCAGTATAAAATAAAAATATAGGAGGAGAAAGAGAAGGAAGAAGAAGTTGCCCAGGCCAGATCATATGTTTTAACAATTGAAATGATGTTTAAATAAAAAGGTCTTTACCTGGCGCCGAAAAACCAGTAACGACGGTGCCAGGCGGACCTCTTTGGGGAGTGAATTCCATAGGTTGGGCGCCACCGCAGAGAAAGCCCTCCTCCGGGTACTTACTTTCCTAATTTCTTTCATGGAGGGTTCCCGGAGAAGGGACTCTCCCACAGATCTCAAAGGGCGGTCGGGCATATACGGACGTAAGCGCTCGTTCAGGTAGCCAGGACCCAAGCCGTTTAGGGCTTTGTAGGTCATAATCAACACCTTGAATTGGGCCCGGGCTTCAATGGGAAGCCAGTGAAGCTGATGGAGGACTGGAGTCATGTGAGCATAACGCCCCGTCCCCGTCAGCAACCTGGCAGCTCTATTTTGCACCAATTGAAGTGTTCGGACTGTCTTCAGGGGAAGCCCCACGTAAAGCGCATTACAGAAGTCTAGGCGGGAAGTCACCAGCGCGTGTGTCACCGTCGCCAGGCAGTCGTATTCCAGGTAGGGGCGCAGCTGATTAATCAGCCGAAGCTGAAGGAAGGCGTTCCTTGCTACCGCTGTCACCTGAGCTTCCAAAGAAAGCTCCGGGTCGAGGAGTACTCCTAAGCTGCGGACCTTATCCCTAAGAGGGAGTGTTGCACCATTCAGGACCAGGTCAAATCCACCCTCTCCGAAACCCGATCCGCCAACCAACAGGACCTCCGTCTTGTCTGGGTTGAGTTTCAGTTTATTGGCCCTCATCCATTCCCTTACCTCGGCCAAGCACCGGTTCAGCACAACCACTGCCTCACCTGGATTAGTAGAGAATGAGAGGTAAAGCTGGGTATCATCAGTGTATTGATGATTCCGCAGCCCACACCTCCTGATGACCTCTCCCAGCGGTTTCATATAGACGTTAAATAGCAGAGGGGATAGAATGGAGCCCTGTGGTACCCCATGGCATAGCTGCCATGACGTAGAGACATGGTCCCCCAGCACTACCTTCTGGAATCGACCGTCGAGATAGGAGCGGAACCACTGCAAAGCAGTGCCTCCAACCCCCAATCCCGCAAGTCTATCCAGAAGGATACCATGGTCGATGGTATCGAAAGCCGCCGAGAGGTCCAGAAGAACCAACAGGGATGTACTCCCCCTGTCCTTCTCCCTGCACAGGTCGTCGTACAGGGCAACCAAGGCAGATTCAGTACTGTACCCGGGTCTGAAGCCGGACTGAAAAGGACTGTAGACTTGAATCGGCTTGCTTTGTTGTTGGTTGGCAGGAATCTGCCTAGAGGTTTTCTTTCTCCATACCTATAGCGAGTGAAGATGATAATGCTGCGCATCTGGTGTCCGCTTGATTTGGCAAAGAGGACGTTGCTTGCCCACTGCGCACTTGCAGGGCACGTGCTTAGCATGCCTGAAGTCTTGGCTTGAAACATCTCTGACCCAAATTAGACATTGTAGGGACGAGCGGCCCCTGCCAGCCGGCATCTTATTACAGCATCCTGTGCCGTTGAGCTCCATGCCCACCCTGGCCTCCATTTGACTCCTGCTTGCAGAAGATGCCCCATCTCTTGAGCTTGGTGGTGTCCCTGCTGTGCTGCCTTGGCATGATGCTTGCAGGGGGTCATTTGTTGGCAGAACTGTCGTGGTCCTGTAAGATCTTTTGTGGCCCTTTAGTTGCAGGGCTGAGAAAGATTTCGCTCTGACTTGGAGAGAGAGAGACCAGCTAGTGTAGATGGAGCAGTGATCTCTCGAAGGCAACATCATCGTTTCCTGAATTTTTTTAGTAGAAATGTATGCTCTGCTTTTCCATTTACAAAAGGAAGCAACAAGGAATCAGCTGATACAAACAGTAGAGTGGCAATGACTTAAAATGCACATTTTCAGAAGCAGCAAACAGATTAGACTCTTGCTGGGAAAGTGAATCTTCAGTTGCTGGACAGACATTCATGTCTGTCCCAGCTGATTGTTCTCCAGAAGGTAACAGGGAGTGTGGTGGGATGCCACCTGCTGACTGTAGCAGCCAAGAGGAGGTGTGAGGGAGAAGGCAGCTCTCTACAGTCCTGTGTTTAAACTGGTACCTAATACTTGTTTGTCAAAATAGGGGGAAAGGGAGAGACAAATGCAGTATTGTGGCAGTAATAACCTTCAGGCATTGGGTTCCGTTGTTCTGCACGTGTGGCTGAGCGCATGCAAGTGCTGCCAGCCCAAGCGCACCTGCTGTTTCTTGCAGGAGCGGATGGTGTCCATGGTGTTGGACAAGGAGCTCCCTGTGGCAGTGGAGGCGGTCAGGCTGCTCACCCTCATCCTTCAGTGAGTCCAGTCAGGGAAGGGCGGGGGGGGGGGCACTGCTCAGGCCGAGCCGTTCCATTTCTCTCCTTCTCCACTAGCAGAGCAGAACACTGCCCTGCCCTGCCAGACCATTGGCCTGTCTGTGCTGATTGGCAGCAGTAGCTCTCCAGGTGTTTACCCGGCTCTACCTGCAGCTGCCACTTGGGATTGGGCCTAGGTCCTTGTGCCTGCAAAGCAGGTGCTTTTCTTTGTAGACATGCTGAAGTCCAGTCTTTGTGCAGGAACATGGATGAGGTGCTCACAGACTCTGACTGTGAAAGTGTCTTTCCGCTTGTGTATGCGTCCAGTCGTCCTTTAGCAGCTGCTGCAGGTGAATTCTTATTCAGGAGGTTAGTACAGGTCTGACACCCCAGTGCACCATAGCACAGAGAACAGCAGGCTTGGTCCTGCCTTGATCTCTGACTCCTCTCTTCTGTGTCCTGCTCTTCCCCTGAGATTCCTGATTCAGCTCCCTCTTTTCTAATGGTGGTGATTTGGCTTGCAGGCTGCTAGCGCCTGCGGTGTGTACCAGTGGGGCACCTGGAGAGCGCCGTGAGGACACCCGAGCCTTCCTTCAGTTGCTTCTAACCTTTTTCATTGACAGCAAGGTGAGGCAGGGGTCTCTTCTCCAGCATATCAGCAAGGAAGGCCTGCCTAAGCAGGAGTCATGGCTTTGCTTTCCATCCACAGTTCCATGACCATGCAGTCTATTTGGTTGATAGTCTGTGGGACTGTGCGGCTGCTCCGCTGAAGGACTGGCAGGCACTGACTGGGCTGCTGCTGGAGGAGCCTCCTGTTGAGGGTGAGTGGTAGTTCAGGGCTGGGTGGGCTATGCAGGTGGAGGCATAGAATCGCTGGGAACAAGAACATCAGTGTCCGTTGGGAGGAGTTCACGCCTTCTGGAAACATTTACCTTGCTCTTGATAGGGTACACTTAAAAGTATGAATCAGGAAGACCCTAGATCAGTGGTGGCGAACCCATGGCACGCGTGTCACAGCGGGCACGAAGAGCCCTCTCTGTCAGCACGTGAGCCAAGTTGCCCCAGCATCTCTGCAGCCGAGCATCGGATAACAGCGCACACAGGGGCCATGCGCATGCTCGGAAAGGAGCAGTGGCGCCCGGCGATGACATAACAAGCTGCAACTCATTAGATGCGACTTGTCCAAGCTTTCGCATGGCCAGTCAGTGTGCTGCCAAGGATATATATATATCGGCTTGGACTAGTTGTGAGTTGTTTTTTCTAAACAAACCTCAGTTTTCAGGTTTTATTGCAGTGTTGGCACTTTAGGATAAGTGAGTTTAGGATTGTGGTTTGGGCACTCAGTTTCTAAAAGGTTCACCATCACTGGGTTAGGGTTAGAAAAATGAGGTGTCCTGGCATGATTTTGATGGTTGGAATGTGTTCAGAATGGGCAGAAATGATGAGCAGTGCAGAAAATGCTACTCAAGGAAGGCATATTCAAAATTGTCCCCTTTCAGTGGTATTTTACCCCTACATTAGGGTTAGGGGTGTGCACCAGGCTAGAAAAATGAAGTGACCTGGCATGATTTTGATGGTTGGAATGTGTTTAAAATTGGCTGAAATGATGAGCTGTACAGAAAAGGGTACTCAGGGAAGGCTTTTTCAAAATTGCCCCCTTTTAATTTGTATTTTATCCCTATATTCTCCTGCCAGCCTTGCAGTTCGAAAGCATGCAAATACGAGATAAAAGGGTACCACTTTGGTGGAAGGTAACCTCATTCTGTGCACCTTGGTGTTTAGTCATGCCGGCCACATGACCATTGAGACTGTCTGCAGACAAATGGTGGCTCATTTGGCTAGGAAACGGAAATAAGCAGCACCCCCTAGAGCAGGGGTCTCAAACTCGCGGCCCGCGGGTCAGTTGCCAGGATGGGTGGGGCACGGGGGAGGGGCCCTGCAGCCTTCAAAGTGCCGGCGGCGCCTGGGCCGGCCTCCGGATGAGCAGCCCACCACCACCGCGGTGGTGGAATCCTTGATGTGGCCCAGCCTCACCCAGACTCTACTTCCAGCGGCCCCCAGGTAAGTTGAGTTTGAGACCCCTGCCCTAGAGTCAGACATGGCTGGACTTTCATGTCAAGGGGAATCCTTTACCTTTACCCCTGTATTAGGGTTAGGGGAGTGCACCAGTGTAGGGTTTGGGCAGTAGTGGTGAATCTATTGCATGCATGCCACAGCGGGCATGCAGAGTCCCCTCTGTCAGCACGTGAGCCAAGTTGCTCCAACATCATCCCAGCAGTCGAGCATCGGATGGCAGTGCACTTAGGCGCCATGGGCATGTTCAGAAAGGAGTAGCGGCGTCTGGCGATGATGTAACAAGCCATGACTCATTAGACGTGAATTGTCTGAGCTTTTGCATGGCCAGTCAGTGCGCTGCCAAGGATATATATATATTGGCTTGGACTGGCTGTGAGTTGTTTTTTCTAAACTAAAACCTCAGTTTTCAGGTTTTATTGCAGTGTTGGCACTTTGTGATAAATAAGCGGGTTTAGGGTTGCAGTTTGGGCACGCGGTCTCTCAATGGTTTGCCATCACTGCTCTAGATCCTATCCAGAACCTCTGGGACCAGGCAGGAATGACTAGAAGAGAAGAGAACTAGGACCTACAGTGCTGTTTAGCTCTGTATCTTTTCCATCTTTTCTTTCCAAATGCACCAGTGGAAGAATACTGATTGGGAGGGGTGGGTGCTGGGAACAATGCACAAGGCAGCTTCTAGCATGCGTCCCTGGTCAGCACACCAGTGCTGAGGTGCCTGAAAAGTCTTCTGTCAGAAATGAGAAGCTGGGAATGTTTGGGGCCCAGAAAACCAATCTCTTGACTTTTCCTAGGATGCTTTAAAGGGTAGCATGGGTGTGGACTCTATGGTCGAAGTGCGGTGTGCTATTCTGTGGTGACTAGCAGACAAACCTCCATACAGATTGGGAGGGGGAATCCTTGCTGTACTGCTGAACTCTTCCCTCGCTGAACAGGCTTGGGTGACCGCCAGGAGAGCAGCCTCATCATGATCTTGGTGGCCAGCGTGCGGCAGGCCACCGAGGGACATCCCCCCATTGGGAGAATCTCTGGAAAGAAGGTAACTAAAGGGGTGGAGGGTTGCTGCCTGAGGACTCCCAGTCTTGGTCTCTCGACCCCAGTTTGATCACAGGAATATGGGATTGCAGAACCAGGTGGAGGAGTTTGTTCAGCTCAGCACTGTCTGCACGGACAGGCAGCAGTGACTGTCCAGCAGTGCAGGCAACAGTATTCTCCATTCCCAGCTGGAGGTGCTGCTGGGCGTTGCACCTGGGAGCGGCTGTGTACAAAGCATCCGTTGCTCCTAGTGAGCAGACACGCCTCCCTTTCTAACCAGATGGTCCCTGTGCCTGACCTCTCTTTTCCTCTTGTCAGGTGTTTTCTGCTAGAGAGCGCAAAGCGCAGGCTGAGGACCGCCTTAAACTTACCCGGCACCTTATCCCACTGCTACCCCAGCTCCTGGCTAAGGTGAACCATGTTCATTGTACTTAATGTATTTCTATTCCACCTAATAGCTAAAGGTTTTTGGGCAGTGTATGAAAATAAATACAATGAATTATAGTATAAATAACAGTAAAAATAAAACTGCATGAGGTTACACTAAAATTTTAAAGCCAAATTTTAACCACTCATCCATACCGATCTATACCAGTAGGCCTGCTAAGATCAGCTTGAAATACCCCCCTCCACCCCCCTTGTAGAGATTGGTTCTGCTTTGCCCAATATATAGCATTCCAAAGTGGTTACATCAGACTCTGAATTTGAACTGGAAGAAGCTGTGGGGCCAGAATTCATATCTGAAATGCTAAGGCCAGTGAACTTTGAGCTAAGCCAAGCAGTTTGTGAGATCCGGACCACCTCTGGTTTGGGGGGAGACACGGTGGAGCAGAGAGGACTGCAAGCAACCAAACCCTAACCCAAACCCAAACTCAAACCCTAACCCTGAAGGTTGGGCCAACTCTGTTTGGGTGACAAGGGTGGAGGGGGAATTTGGGATGGCAGCAGCTTCTTGGCCTGAGCTGTGCTTTCTCACTCCAGGTAACTGGCGCATTGACTTGAGGGATGTCTTTTGCTAATAATCTATGTAATGCTCTCTTGGTATCATAAAGCCAGTCCTGACTTTTATTATGCTTTAACATAATAAAAGACTGTATTTAGAAGCTGCTGAGAAGGGAGGAGAGAACAGAGGAGGAGGCTGACCTGGGATGCCCTTGTGCTGTTTGGCGCTGGTCAGTGCCTTGGCAAAAAGGGCAGTCCTAACAGTAAAGCTGATGCCAGGTGGCCTTGGTGTGCAGAATCGTCCAGGATTTGGGGACTACCTTGTTGCCACCAACCAAGTGTTCCCTGAAGGAAGCATTCAGAGCCAGGCCTCCGTTGCTCTGTAAGAGTCCTGGGTGCGGATGGCTGGGTAGCACATAATGCACCAGGACCCAGGTTGAAGCCAGAATGCAATCCCTAGTCCAAGTCACAACTCCAAACTGCAGAGTCAGGCAGGCCAAAATCAAAGCAAGAATCTCTTGTAGCACAGTCCAAGAAACAAGGGAGTACTCAGACAGAATTCAGAAGTCAAGAGCCAGGGAGCAGGTGCCTTGGAGCAGGAGCGGGGCCCAGGAGCAAGGTGCAGGAGCACAAACCAAACATGGCAAGGGCTTCAATACACTGGGAACTGTTGTTGTTGAGGCAGTTTCTGTGGGGAAGAGCCAGTTCCTAAATAGCCACTCCCCAAGGGCTCCCAGGTGGTGTGCACGGTGCCCTGGCAGCGACAGCGGAGCGTGGGACAACTCTTGCTACTAGCAGTGCTGCTATCCTGATGCTTGGCTAGTAGGAGGGTCCCTGAAGTGGCCTAGATCCTGACATTGTGGCTGGAAGACGAGTTATTCTTCATGGTCTCTGGGCATCACGCATATGGGCTCTGTGCGCATGTGTGCAGCTAATTTGGGAAAATTCCAAAGCGAGCTGATTGTGCGGCAGGAGCCCAGTCCCTGGGCATGCCCAGCATGCGGGGAAGGGCTCCTCCTGAGACACCAGTCTTTCTTTGGCCACTGTGAGCACACCAGGAAGTCCTTCCTCTGCTACTTACCTTGCTAACACTGCCTTTTCAATTCTTCTTAGATTTTCTATTGCCTGTCAGGTTTTTCCACTTTGTTTTTTCTCTCTCTCCTCTACAAAATAATAATAATAATAACAACAGTAGCATTTTCCCGCTTTTATGCTGCTTTTATTGGCCCTTCTACCCTCATCCGTTTGAGAGTAAGCCGTCCAAGGCCCCGTGCTGCAACGGCGTGGATTGTGGCAGCAAGCTGTCACCTACCAATAGGCGCTCCCTGTGCCCTTTGTGCCTGGGAGAGACTCGTGCTGTTGATGCCTGCTCCCGTTGCCAGGCATTTACTAAGCAGGCAAGAAAGTGTCAGGCTAACCGTCTAAAAAGCTGGGCCCTGGAGCCGTGCCCTGCATGTGGGCAGCTCCCCTCATCTGACTACAGCAGTGGCAACCTCTGCAACCGTGGCAAACCTTTCTGATGCTCGCCAGAAAAACTATTTAAACAGGAAGACCTTAGTAAAGCAGACAAGAAAAATATGGCTCCAAAAATGCCCAGCCTCATTAAAGATGGGGGCATACTTGCCCAAAAGCCCTGTGATGTGCCCCCCCGCCTCCCGTGCACTGAAGACGCTGCCTGAACAAGCGCTGCAGCAGCATCCCTTCCCAGTGTCGAGGCGGCGCAGGAACCCATTGCCACCAGCTCTGCGCACGTCCTCCTTGGGAGGGGAGCTCCATGAACTGCCATCTCCGGTGTACCAGCAACCTGATTCCGTCTTGGGGCCCAGATGTGGCTTCCCATCATTATATTGAGTGTGCACCTCTGCACCAAACCCGATGAACATCGGTATTGCTCCTGCTCCCTGGCCACCGATGGGGACGACAGACCCGAGTGGCAAACTCCTTCGTACCGGTGTGAATTCAAAGCCAGTTTTTACAGTGAGTGATGGGGATCCATTGATTCCAGGCATGAAAGGCCTCACTGGAGCCCAGTTGGATCCAGTTGGCTCTCCACTCGCACTGATCCCACGTTTCCTGTACCAGTCTCTGGACCATCATGAGATGCTACGGAGATGCCAGTACAGTGCTCTCCCCTATCCCGTGCTGGACCATCATGTGCCAAGTTGTTCAACCACTGACATGTGACTTTTGTCAAATCGATGGAATCCAGCCCTGGGCTTCCATCTTGAGTTTGGAATTGTCCTTGCCAGACCAACGCTCTGACCTGCCCACCAGCCCACCCAGACCCCCAGTGACCTTCCACACGCTGCTGAGGACATTGGACAATTTTTCTAACCAAATCCTTTGTATGGCACACAGTTTAAAGCTCAGCCCCTGACAAGACTTCAGCAGAGCAAAAGATCCCTCCTTTGAGGTGGTCCACGCAGAAAGCACTGGTCCTGTCACCATACCACTCCTGCCGATCCTGCTTGACACAGTGCACCATGAATGGAAAAAGCCAGTATTGTTAATGCCACCACCCTGACAGCCCGGAAACGTGAACCGAGGGACATGGAGTTTCTGTTCCAGCTCCACCCAACTCTGCTACTGTGGAGCCTTCTCAAGGCCCATCCAGGAGAGAACATTCCACCTCCACAGACAGAGGGTAGATGCCTTGATGCCGTTGGCTACCACTTCTGTTCGTTGGCTGCATTTTCCATTAACATGGCAAACGACCAGGCCACCATGGCCAGTTATCACCTCATGCGGTGGGACTTGGTGGCCTCGCTATACTTATCCCTCCCTGAGAACATAGCTGGGCCACCAGTCACAACTGCTGGAAGGCACTCTGTGCCCCTGAGGCTCAAGGGACAAATCTGGATTGAGGGACTGTCCCCTGCCCCTTCAGGAGGAATGCGGCTCCATCCAGACCTGTCCACCGATAGCATGTTTCAGTTTGTTAGTCTTCGTCCAGTCCATGGTTGTAGGGCCACTGGTTTAGCACACCCACGCTCTCACCTGCCGAAGAGGAAAAGGAGAAACGGGAGCCTGTCAGCAGCGTACAGGTAGCAACATGCGCCAGAACTCTGGATGAGCCGCTTGGCAGCTCATATAAATGTTGAGTAGCATGGAGGACAAAACTGGCCCCTGAGGAGCCCCGTATGGGAGAGGCCATGGGGCCAGGCAGTATTCCCCAAGCACCTTCTTCTGGAACTGACCCTCCAGGTAGGAACGGAGTCATTGCAATTCAGTGCTCCCCACTCCCAACTTACACAGTGGCCCCAGAAGGATCTCGTGATTGATAGCACTGAAAATTGCTGAACGAACGGGGAGTATCAATAGGTTGTCATTTCCCCTGATTCTTTCCTGCTGTAAGTCATAGTACAGGGTGAGCAAAGCTGTTTTTGTACCAAAACCTGTTGTGGACATTCACTGAAATGCATCCAGGTAACCAGTTTTATCCAAGTGTGCCAGGACGTGGCCGCTACCTACTCAAGAACCTTGCCCAGGAGGGGAACACTGACCATCAGTTGTAAAATTTGGATCCACAGTGGCCTCCCTACTGCCATTTCAAGACATCATGCAGCCACTTCCTCTCCTAAAGAGAGGAGACATCCAGTTGGCGCTTCCCACCCTCCTGCTCCCTCTTAGCTAAGAGGGACCAGGATCCAGTATGGATATGGCTGCACGACCTGCCCAAGCCACCACATCAGCATCCTTAAGCTGAAACTCGCCCGAGAACACAACCAGCCTGTGCTCTGGGAACCACGCCAGACTCCTCTGCAGCAAAATTGGAGCCAGAGTCTTGGGTGGAGGGTCTTTGTGTGAACTGAGGGATCAGTGAACGTCTTGCCCCCTTAGCATCTTGCCTCGGATCTGGGCTCTGCTTGGCTTCCGCACACTGAAATAGGGTAACTTCCCTTGCAAGGGACCTCATGTCTCACTGGTGCTCCTTCCTTAGCGATGCAAAGCCCTGAAGCCTCTTTCTATCCTTTTCTTGCAGTTTTCAGCTGATGCTGAGAAAGTGGTGCCTCTGCTAGAGGTGCCACGGTACTTTGACCTAACCCTGTACAGCAGAGGCCGTCTGGAGAAGGTAGGAGACATGTGCATCCCCCCGTGGGACACTCAGCACTCGCTTCTGGCAGATCCAGAGGTTGAGGTGTGGGACTGTGCCCACTGTCCTTTTCGAAGCACGCCTGTCCAGGCCTGCCAGTGCAAGGCTTGTGTGCCAACATGCTGTCTTTCCCCTCGTTTCTGCCTCACCTAAAGTACTTGGAACTGCTGCTGGCCCAGCTGTGGGAGGTTGTGGAAAAGCACACCAACTGTGAGGTGCTGGAGTCGGCGTCGCGGATGCTCCAGGTGCTCTGCTGTCCAGAATTTGCATTTTACACCCGTGCTGATTTTGCTCGCAGTCGCCTGCTGGACCACCTGGCAGACAAGTTTCAGCATGAGGCTAGTGACCTGCTTCAGGTATTGAGAGCTGCAGAGGGCTGCTTTGAAAATTCAGGCCTGGAAAAGCCAGATTTTGGGGAGTTGTGCATTTGTGTTCTGGGAGTGAGAGTGACTGCTGTGGGGGAGCAGCAGGAGGGAGGGGTAATGGTGTGGGTTCACAGCACAAAGGACAATGGTTGGAAGTGCCCACGAACATGAGACTGATCACTGGCTTGGCCTCTGGAGCGCTAAAGCTGTGTTGCGCATTCTTGCTCTCCTCCCTCTGTAAAGGAAATGATCAGAACATGGAATAATAGAGTTGGAGGGGCCAGAAGGCCATCTGGTCCATCCCCCTGCTATTGCAGAACCATCCCACTCAGATGACTCTCCTGTTTCTTTTTGAATGTCTGGTGTGGGGGATCCCACAACCTCTCTAGGAACTGGTTCCACTGTTGTATTGCTCTGACAGTGAGGAGACTTTTTCTGAGAGCTATCCTGAATCTGGTCTGAATCAAGATCTCTTCTCTTCTGATCAATGAGCGAGAAGAAATCTTGACCTTCCTCATTGTGACAATCTTTGAAGTACTTACAGGGTGATATCCTGTCCCCTACCCTCAGTCTTCTCAAGGCTGAACATGCCCAATTCTTTCAATCTCATAAGCCTTTGTTTTCAGTGCCCAGATCATTTTTGTTGTCCTCCTCTGGACTCTGATTTTTCTGCATTTTCTTAAACTCTGGTATCCATAGGTGGACACAGTACTCGGTGCTGCATAAGGGGAAACTAGTGCTTCATGTATCTTGGAAGTGATACTTCCATTAATGCAGCCTAACATAGCATCTGCCCATTCTGCAGCCACATCACATTAGTGACTCATAAGTTTGTGATCTACGACAATTCCAAGATACTTCTTGCTTGCAGTTTTGTAGAATAAAGTATTTCCCATATTGAAATGATTCATTTGGTTTCTTTTTCCTTAGTACAGATCTTGGCATTTGTTCCTGTTGAATTTCATTCTCTTTTAGAGAAACAGAAACAGTGAGTCAGAAGGGGCCTCCCAAGGCCATCTAATCTGACTCCTGGTTCCAGCCAGCTCCACTCATGATATGCCTACCATGTGCACATCCAGCCTGTCCTTGAACACCCTCACTGCTGGGGCTTCAGCTACTTCCCATGGAAGCCCGTTCCATACCCTCGGGGTCCTAACTGTCAGGAAGTGCTTCTTGGCATTCAAATTGAACCTTGGTTCCCTGAGCTTTGCTCCATTGGAATGTGTTTTGCCCATATATAAAAACTTTGAATGAATGAATGAATGAATGAATGAATGAAAATGCTGAAGAGTGCTGGGCCCAGGACTAAACGTTGCAGTATCTCACTTGTTAATTGTCCCCAGTTTGAGAAGGTGCCATTGATGGATCTGATTCTGTAGCCAGCTATGGACCCACCTGATCATCGTTCCATCTAGCCCACTTTTAGCTATTTTGCTAATCAGGTTATCATGGGGCACTTTGTCAAAAGCTTTGCTGAAGTCAGGATAGATCATGTCCACAACATTCCCCCAGTCCATCAGAGTGGTTACCCGTTCAAAAATCAAATCAGTCTGGCAGGATTTGTTCTTGAGGACTTGATGTTGGTTTCTAGTCATGAGTGCACTGTTCTTAAGATGTTTGCAGACTGACAGCTTTATAATCTGCTCCAAAATTTTCCCAGGGATTGATGTCAGACTCTCTGGTCTGCACTTACCACTTTTTTCCTATTTTCTTGAAGATAGGGACATGAGCCCTTCACCAGTCATCTGGCACTTCCCCTGTCCTCCATGATTTCTCAAAGATAATAGACGGTTTTTCTGGGAGTTCTTCCACTGGCTCCCTTTGATTCGAGGCTGGAGTGCGTCAGTCCCTTGAGAGTTGAACCCATTCGGCCACGTTCGATGTTCCTTGGCCATTTGCCTATCAAACTTGGCCTGCCACTGTGCTCCTTCAGCTCGTACGTCCCCTTCGTTAGAAAGGTCATCTGCCTTCTTTTGGGAGAAGACTGGGCCAAGGTAGGAATCAAGCACTTCTGCCTTTTCTCTGTCATCGGTTATCATTTTCCATCCACACTGAGTAGTTGAACCCCTATTTCTTTCCTCTCTTTTACTTTGGGCATACCTGCAGAAGGGTTTTTTTGTTGCTTTTCGCATCCCTTGCTAGTCTAAGTTAATTCCTATCTTTAGCCTTCCTGACACCATCCCTGCAATTCTGTGCTTCCTGCCTGTAGCCTGGCCTTCCTTCCACTAAAGTTTTCAGATCGTCTTCATGCTTTTTGTGAAGCCACATGGACTTTCTCTGTTGTCTTGTACTCCTTTTCCTTGTTGGAATTGTTTGTCATTGTGCCTTTAGAATCTCCTTTTAAAAAATGTCAACCCATGCTAGACTCCTTTTCTCATTAGAGACACTTGCCATGGGACCTTGTTTATTATTGTTCCGAGCTCATTAATATTGGCTTTCCTGAAGTCCAGGGTACACGTCTGGCTACATGTGGCTTTTGCTTCCTTCAGAATCAAGAATTCGCGTATGGCATGGTCACTTTTCCTCAGAGTTCTTGCAGCTGCCACTTGTCCACTGCATCTTCCCTATTGGTTAGTATCAAGCCAGGCATAGCTGTTCCTCTCATTCCTTCCCTCGTTTGCTGTTGGAGGAAGTTACCAGCAACACATTAGGAATCTCTTGGAACGACCCTGTTTGGCAGAATTTGTCTCCCAGCAGATACCGGGAGATTGAGATTCCCCATAATGACGGTGTCGTGCCTCCTTGAAACACTGGTGGTTTGCTTTCCGAAAGGTTCATCCTCTTCTCCTTGACTGGGTGGTCGTGATGGACTCCAAACACTGCCTTCCTTTTATGCCTGGCTCCAGATATTACTCCAGATGCTCTCTGTGGGGCTAGTAAGCACATCCTCCTGTATTTCTGTGCAGAGATAAGTATTGTTAACCTATAGTGTGACTGTGCATCCCTTTCTGTTCCTTCTATTCTTCTTGACATTCAGCTCATATTCAACTTCCTGTGTTAAGAGTTTATGTTCATGCTGTTTGTTTCTCATACTTGGGACATTTGTATATAGGCATTGAAGACCATGATATTTAGGTTTCTTCCTACATTTTTAGAAGAATATTATTGGGCACTGTTAGAGTTGCTCTCTCCCTTGTGGTACCTATGTCTTTGTCTGTTGTAATGCCCAGGTGTACTTCTCCCTCCCCTGCAGGATTCAGTTGAAACCCTTCTAATACATTTCTTCATGCTGTGGCTGAACACCTTGTTTCCAGTCCTTGTAAGGTGCAGCCCATCCCTTGGCAGTTGTCCACCTTCCAGGAAGTATAGCTTGTGGTCCCACAATCCAATCTCTCACATCAGTGCCATCTTTGTAGTTCACTCGAAGTTTTTTCATTCCCTGCCTGTTTATTTATTTAAAGTTTTGATATGTCGTCCAGTACCACAGTCTCTGGATGGCTTGCACAGTCTCTTCTTTCTCTTCTTCAAACTGGAAAGATTGCAGAGAAAGCTGTCTGGGCCCCAAAGTCCTTGCCTTTCCTCCCTAAAGCTTCAAATTCTGGCTTCACAGAATTCTTTGAGTTGATGGGCTTCATTTTTTACTGCTAGGCCAAATTCTCCCACAACATTGGGTTCTGCTTGTTTTCTGCCTTCACATTCTAGTCAGCTATGATGATCAGCATGTCTTGTTTCGGTGTGTTACCAATTTCTTCTTGGACACCAGCATAAAACTTTTTAATATCTTCTACAGCATCTATTGTTGGAACGTCTTGAGTGATCAATGTTCTTTTTATGCCCATACCCTATTATGCTGCCCTACTGTGTCTTTTTCATTTTAGTTATGAGTGCATTCATTTTTAACTGTGAATTATTTATTATCACAGAAGTTAAACTATCCAGAGGGAAAAGGGTTACATGAATATTTGAGGATCTGTAATAGCTGGGTCCCAGAAATCTGACTGCTTTTGGCTCTTTTCGGCCATCATCCTCCCTCCTTCAACTGCAGTGTACTAGAATTTGTTCTGCAGAGTTCCCAAACCTTCAGCAAATGTTGGTGGGGCTGCAGGGGAGCGGGAGTGCTGCTCAAAACCATTCCGTCTTGTTCCGGTGGTGGAAAGACTAGTTGGATTTCACCCACTGGGCCTCTTGTGCAGTGGAGGAGGTCTCAGTCTTAGTGACTGGCTGATCCTGAGTGCCCAGAGATTCTAGTTTCGGACAAATTGAGTCCCAAGAATCTGTTATTTTCCCCTATCTCTGCCAAATGTTAAATTCTGATTAATATGTTTTTACGTGGGGTCTTTTCCTGTTGTGTTAATTCCTGAATTTGGTTGGAGGTTTCTTTTATGCAAGGCCGAAAGACTACAGTGTCTGATGAGCTCTTTTTTGTGGAGCAAGTAGAAGATGCAGCCTGCATCTGTGGAGAAGAAAAAACCTTAACAGGAAGGCTAACATTCTTTTTCCCTCCTTGTTTCCTGCTCAGTCCTCATTTCTGGAGAAGGAAGATGTGTACAGTGTGGCTGCCACTCTGAAGCGTATTGCCATCTTTCACAGGTGATGACAATATTGCAGGGACCGGGGAGAACAAGCAGTGGTGACATTGCTCAGCAGTCCTGCCCAACATCCCTTTCATTTCAAGCTCCCCTCTCCCCCTTGCCCCATTCTGGATTGCCACGTGCAGCAGCCTGTGAGCTTCTAGCAGTTCAAATCTCCCCAGGTTTCCCGTGACTTCTTTTAAGTGCACTGACGAGAGCAGTAGCACCGCTTAATGTTCTGCTATTTTGTCTGTAGTGCTCATGATCTCACTCCATGGCAGTTCTTTGAGCCCTGCACCCGTCTTTTGCAGCACAGGGTGGACACAGGCGAGGTCCCCAAGCAGGTACTGGGATATGACGAGGGGGGACAGAGCATCGGAGAATAGTGGAATTGGAAGGGGCCAAGAAGCCATCAGGCCCAACCCCCTGCTGGTGCAGGGTATCAGTTTACACCATCCCACTCAGATGGCATGTTTTGGCTCTTGCTAGAGGGATGCATGCCTGTTACTGTATCGCTACCACACCTCTTTTTTGCCACGACGTCTTTGGGGAGGGAAGTTGGAACCGCTGCCTCTCTGTCCTTGAGGCCCTGGCCTTGACTGCCACTTTCATGAGCTTACCTTTCTTGCAGGTGGTTATCTCGGCAATGACCTGCTCTCACTTCTCACTGCTATGGGAACTTGCCCACCTCTCAGATGCTTCCACTGGGCCCCTTTCCAGCCAGGTGAGAAAGGCTTTGTGGGACTCTTGGAAGGGTCCGTTTGTACCACACTTTCCTGACATTATGCCTCACTGTTCCAGGAGCCCTTGCTTAGTCTGAAGGAGAAAATGACATCTTTCTGCTCATTGTGTCAAAGCTGCCTAATGGATGTAGACCCCAGTGTCCAGGAGCAGGTGAGAGAGAGCAGGCGTTGATTTGGGACTCTGGCCTCTTTCTACTTTTTAAAAGCCTAAAAGCTGCTAGATGTTGGCCGTGGGTGAGCTTGCTGGCTCCTCCCTTGGCTGCCCTCTACTGTCACAACATGAAACATTTTCCCTTATAATGCCTTGCAGAAGCATTCTCCTTTCTTTGGTTTTTCCACATCTTGTAGTATTACAGCCTGGAATTAAAATGGATTGAACTGGTGTTGTTACCATCTGATGTACACAAGATACTGAGCACTGTGAAGGAGCAAAATACTGTAGCATGAACATTAAATAATCAGTTTTTTTCTCTAGAATTGCTCTGCATGTGGCTCTGTCCATCTTGATTCCTGATGAAGGTAAAAGAAGAAAGTGCAAAACAACGATCACACTTTAATATTAAGAAAACAAAAATCATGACAGAAGAATTACGGAACTTTACTGTCAACGATGGAGAAATTGAAATTGTGAAATATTGTATACCTTGGTTCAGCCATCAATTCAAATGGAGTTTGTAGCCACAAAATTCAAAGTTGTCTGAGACTTCGAAGGACAGCAATTCTGGAACAATGTGGACTGATTTTCTATGTCCTGCGCTCTGGAGTGAGTGAGAGGAGATCTTTTCCTTCCGTTTTGTGACAGCCTAGTGAAGCAAGGAAGGTGGCCATGAGAGGAAGGGCCTTCTTGGGTGTTGCACCCCAACTATAGAATCAGGCGGGTACACTCGAGGCCAGCCGTTCATACATTCTGGAGGCAGGTCAAAACCTTTTTGGTTTTTTGTTTTTTGAACTATTGAATAGAAGGTCTTGATGCTTTTACTGGTTTTTTTCATATTGTCATTGCCTGCTGTGGATTAGTTGTTATACTGTGTTATGGATCATTATTAATCTATTAACTGTTATCTATTACATGTAAATATTTATGGTTGTCATTGATGTCTTGTTGGCATCATATATATATTTTATTGTTAAATGTTTTTATCTATTGTATGCATTCTGAGAGCTTTTAGCTAAACAATGGCATGTAAAAGCTTTAAATAAATTAGACTGAAAAAGACTTTGGAGTTTTGTGGATAACATGCTAAATAAAAGCCAACAATGTGATGCAGCTGCTAAAAGGGCAAATGCTGTCTTGGAACACATTAATAGAAGTATTACTTCCAAATCACAAGAAGTAATAGTTCCTCTATACTCCTCACTAGACTTTTATGATTCTGGGATGGAATTCATCAAAGGATCGTCGAATAGTAGAGTTGGAAGGGAAGGAGGAGGTCATCAGGTGCAAGCGCTGCAGTTGCAGGACCCTAATTTACATCATTCCACTTAGACGACTTGGCGGTTTTGCCCCGAATGACTCCAGTGTGGGAGAGCCTACAACCTCTCTATGAACTGTTTCCACTGTTGTATTTCTCTGACAGGAAATGTCCTGATACCTAGCTTGAATCAGCGTTGTCACAACTTGAATTTTTTATTCCATGTCCTACACTCTGGTATCAGCGAGAAGAGATTTTGACAGCCTTTCAGGTACTTGAAGATGGATATCATGTCCCCCCTCAGCCTTCTCTTCTCCAAAAATGCCCAGTTCTCCCAGTCTCTCCACACAGGGCAGTGTTTCCAAACCCTGGATCATTCTTGTTGGCCTCTTCTGGACTCTTTCTTTTTCTTTTTCTTTTTTTGCATCTTTCTTTAATCTTGGTCCCAGAAATGGGCACAATATTCTAGATGAAGTCTGACTAGTGAGGGGAACTACTGCTGTTCATGGTTTAGAAATAATACTTGTGTTAATGCATCCCAAAATAGCATTTGCCCTTTTTGCAGCTCCATCACACTTTGGCTGATATTTAGCCTGTTGTCCTCAATAGCTCCAAGCTTTTTTTGTTTCCAGTTCTGTTGAGCCACATACTCTCCATCTTGTATCGGTGCATTTGGTTTCTCCTTCCCAAGTGGAGGGCTTGACTTTGGCTTTGGATCTCTCTGAGGAAGGCTTTCTTGTTCTTCCCATTTCCTGCTTTAGCCTTCCTGATGCCCTCCCTGCATTTCCTTGCTGTTTGCTTATATTCTTCCTTTGTGGCCTGGTCCTGCTTCCACCTCCTGTACATGTTCTTTCTCCTTTCAGGCTGGCACTTAACTTTTTGTGGAGCCACCTGGGCTGCTTCTGCTGTCCTACTCTTTTTTTCTTGTTGGAATTGTTTATAGTAGTTGGAATTGTTCATGCTTGGAGAATCTCTTTTTTCAAGCGTTCCCAACCCTCTTGTACTCCTTGGCACCTCACGTATTATTATTTTGAGTTCATTAATGTTGGCTTTCTTGAACTCCAGGGTATGTGTTTGGTTGCCATTAACTTTTGTCTCCTTTATAATTGAGAGTTCAAGTATTGCATGGTCACTTTCCCCCAGGGTTCCCATGGTTGCTATTTTGTCCACTAGGTTATCACTATTAGTATTAAATCGAGGATCGCTGTTCCTCTTGTTCCTTTCTTTACCTTCTACTGGAGGAAGCTGTCAGAAATGCATGATAGGAATCTTTTGGAGTGACCATGATTGGCAGAAATTGCCTGCCAGCATATATCAGGGAAACATAGAAAAAACCAGAACAGGTCTCCCAGGCCATTTGGTCTGACCCCTGTTTCCAGCCAGCTCTGCTCATGTAATCCCCAACATGTGCTTGTCCAATCTTGCCTTGAATGCCCTCATTGATGGGGCCTCCACCACCTCCCTTGGAAGCCCGTTCTCTATCCTAGGGGTCCTAACCGTCAGGAAGTACATCTGAGCTGAAGCCTGGTTTCTTGATCTCTGCCCCACTAGAATGCTTCCTGCCCTCCACCGTGGGAAGGAATAAGTCATGGCCCTCCTCCGCATGACATCCCCTTACATACAATCTCGTTGGAGTCTCCTCTTCTCCAGGCTGAAAAGAGCCAGCTCCCTCTATCTGTCTTCGTATGTCACCCCTCCCAACCTGGCTACTCTTCTTGTGACTCTGCGTTGAACCGATTCTAACCTAGTTATGTGTCTCTTATAATGCAAGCCCAGAACTGGATGCAGCACTCCAGTTGTGGGTGCACCAGACTTGTGTAGAGTGGTATCAGCACTTCCCTGGATCTGGAAGCCATGCTTCTGGCTATACACTGACGCCCCCCCATGATGACTCCATCATTTTTCTTGAAAACTCTGGCCAGTTGTTGTTTCAAAGGTTGTCTCCTTGTCATCTCTCTGACTGGGCGGTCAGAAGTAGGTACCAATAACTTTGTTTTCAAAATGCTGTGCTCCCTTTAATTTAAGCTGTATACTTTCGCTGGGGCTGCGAAATCCCTCTTGTGCTTCTCTGCAGTCTCTTATGTATGGTGCAAGTCCGCCTCGCTGTCTGTCCTTCTGTTTTCCTTGAACAGAATCTGCCCGTGAATTGCAGAATTCTAGCAGCATGAAGCGTCCCGCCAGGCGTCACGTGCTCCTGCAAGTCCACAGTCGCCCTCGAGTGCTGTGGGCACAAGGTCGTGTTGCTTGTTCCGCGTGATCTGGGCATTGGCGTGGAGACCTCAGAGTTCATTCTTGTTCTGCCCTGGTTTTCTTCCTACACATTTTGGGAGACTGATGTTAGACCCTGCCTGAGGTTTTTTTTTATTCGCGGTTGAAATGCACAAGTCCTTGCCAGGTGATGGTACGCCATGCTTCACACTTCCCTCCCCTGTACGTTTCTGCTGAAAGTGCCCTTGATGAGCCCTTTCATCGGGTGGCCAAACACACGCGCGCCCTTCTTTGTGAGGCGCAGCCTATCATTTGCCAACGGTCCGTCTTCCAGGAACCTCGGCTTGTGGTCCCAGAATCCAGATTGCTCTTTCTGGAACCACCATTGCACTCAGTTGTTCACTTGAAGGACTTTTCTTTCCCCCTTTTAGTTCTTCTTCCACAGACTGGCAGGATTGGAGAAAAGACTGTCTGGGCTGCAGTGTTTTGTGTTTTCCTCCCTAGAGCTTTGAAGTCTGACCTTCTTTTATCAAAGCGTCTCCTGGCAATGCTGTTTGTCCCCATATGGATGGGAAGGAAGGGGCATTTGTCAGTGGGCTGCATGAGATGCACGATTCTACTTGTTATATCATTAATCTTGGCTCCATGGAGTCACTTACCTGGCCAGTCTCTGGCAGCACACGTATGTTTCCCTTATGCTCAGGAGGGCATCTCCCACAACTAGCACTCTTCTGTTGTTGTTGCTGCAAGCTGTAACATTTCTCTTACTTGGTTGTCTTTTATCCCCCTCAACATCTCTCGGTGTGTCATGCAGTTCAGGCACAGCCAGCTGTTCTCCCAGCTCTTCTGGTCATGGCTGAAGGTGGTTTGAGGGCCACCCTCCAGGGCCCCTTCCTGTCTCAGCTTGCCCTGGCACTTCTTGCTTCCGTAGTGCTCTCAGCTGTTGCAGTTCCACTTCCCTGCCTAAAAACTCTTTACCTTCTGTTATTTCCTCAAGGGTAGGCGCTCGCTGCTCTAGTCTCTCACCTTTTCCTTTAGCAGGGCTACTAGCTGGCACTTGCGGCACATGTAGGCTGTGTTGAGCCCAGGCAGGAAAACAGACATTGCACAGACATTGCGCATCACCATCACTTGGGAGTCTTCTCAGACCCTTCTGCTGCCTTTTTGATTCTAGCTTGCTGGGCCTGGTGTAGCAATCAGTCTTCCCCGGAGGCTAACAACACGGTCCTGCCAGTAAATGGGAGGGTGTTAAAAGGAATAAGACAAAGGGGGGAAGCTAAGGGGGGAAAGAGGTAAAGGCAAATATGTAAAAAAAGAAGAAAGGTGAGGACCTCCCCGCCAAACTGCTGTTTGCGCTCTCTGGGTGCTCACTGCTTGGGAGCAAGTCCATCGACCAGCTGGGGCAGCTCCATCTGATCAGCTCAGCTAGGAGTCCGGAACCAGTAAGCGAGGCTATTGGAGAGAAGAAGGCTTTCTTCAAGAAATGGAAATCCTGCCCAAAACAGGGAAACAAACGGGAACACAGACCTGCACAAAGAAGATGCAAGGAGGCGAATGTGGAAATGCTCGAATATCAAGGCCAACAATAAAGAATTCTGCAAATAGGTCAGAAGGATGAAAGCAGCTAGAAGACACATGGACCATTGGGTGATGATGGAGTTAAAGGAGCACTAAAGGAAGATGAGGAGATTGCGGAGAAGGTGAATGACTCCCTCGCTGTAGGAGAAGCAGGACAGATGCTTGTCCCTGAAGCGATGTATGCAGAAGAGAGTCTGAGGAACTAAGGCAGGCAGCAGTGCAAAGGGCAACATTCTCAGCCTTATTGATACCCCGAGTGTTAATAAATCGCCAGGCTCGGGTGGCATCTATCCTAGACATTTTAAAGAGCTCAGGTTATGAAATCACTGGCTTTCTTACCAAAATATTTCATATGTTCAAAAGGTCAGCCTCTGTGCTTATGTTTGGTCCTACGAGTAAGTCACTCTGAGGGTAGTGTGTCTGCCAGCCTCTCCTACTTGTTCTCTTCATTCCTCTCCAGGCCTTTAAGCTGCTGAGTGATCTGCTCCTGATCTTTGGTCCACAGCTGACCCGGGGAGGACGTGACCACATGCTGGAGGAGCTGGTTTACCGGGCAGAATCTGCTCTGCAGTCGCAGCTTGCCGGCTTCCTCGTGGACCGTGTCTTCAGTCACAGTGAGACTCCAGGTGATCCTCGGGTAGGAGTTGCAAAGGGTTGTGGGTGCAGGCAGGGCAGGCTTGCTCACCCAGCTTCTCCCTCCTTCCCCAGACGAGGAGGACGAGGAACTCCAGATCGAGCAGCTGCACCAGCGCCGCACTCTGCTGGCGGGCTTCTGCAAACTGATTGTCTACCGAGTCCTGGAGCTGAGCGCAGCCTCAGATGTTTTCAAGTATTACTCCAAGGTACGAGAGGAAGGGAGGCAGGCCTGGGAGGTGCCTGAGTGGCTGCTGTGGCACCTGCCTGCCTTGCTTCCAGATGGGCTGCTCCGCACCGTAGCCTGGCCCTGGGTGTTGCTGCCCTCCCCAGGGCCGCAGCTTGCCTCATAGTCTGCTCTGGAAGCGTCGATGCTCTGGCTGGAGAGGTGCTTTGCTGCTTCCTTTGCCTGGCCACAGGTGGATGCTTTCTCTCTTGGACAAAGAGGATTGCTGCAGCGATTTTTCTCCTTATACCTCATTTCAAAGATCTCGCCTTCTGCTCTTCACTTTTCATAAGGAAAAGTGTTTTTGAAAACAGTCTTCCATCTTGTCCTCTGCATGGTCTCCATGACTGATGGGAAAGAGATCAGTACAAGAAAAAAGATCTCAAAAATGTTGGGAAGCGACTTCAGGGCCTCTTACATTTGTGCTGTACCACAAAATATGCATGGAAGTTCTCCAAATGGTCTGATGAGTGGTGCGATTTTTCAGAGAAGGTCTGTGGACTGAAGGCCAAGCTGAAAGGAAGGGCCTTGTGTTCTGGGAAATCTGCCCAAAGAATGTTTCCTTTCTTACATCTGCGATTCTGAAAAGGTGGTTTCTGGCCTGTTTGGGCATCCCTTTGTTTTGAGTGGAGCAGTTTGTGGCAGTACCTGCTTGATGGTTTTCAATGCTGAGTGGTCTGTGGCTCAGCTGCCGCTTTCCTCTCCTCCCTAGACCTGACAGACACTTATCTGCATGTTCCTGCAGCCCAGCAGTTTGGGGATTATCTGAAGCGTGTGTGTCAGCATGGCTACTACCAGTACTAAGCCATTCCTTTCAGCTTGGCCTTAACTCTCTGGGTCTTCTACGAGTCAGCACTATCATTTGTAAGTCCACTTTACATTCAGATGGACTTACAAATGCTGTATATTCATACTTGGATGATCTATTTCTCACTCCTGCCTTCAGGGCCAAAGCTTGAATTCAATTTGGGTGGAAAGTCCACAGATGCAAAGGAAGCTTCCCACTTGTTCTTTCCAGCAACTAGTGTCCCTAGGCTTACTGCCTCTGATATTTGAGGTAATGGGTATCCAATGAGTATCCAGAAACCTTTGGTACCCATATCTTTCATGAATTTTAAAGCTGTTGAAGTTTGTTTGCTATCGTGAAGTAGCATCATTCACTTAACACTTTTGTGAAGGACCCTCCTTTTCTCTGCCTGGAATTTCCTACCATTTAGCTGTGTGGGGAGGTTGTAGTATTACAAGAAGCCCTTTTCCCCCTGACCAGTTACTCAATAGTGCTCGTAATTTCATGCGTATCTATCATGTCTTCTTGGTTTTTAATCTGAACTGCCCCTAATGCTGTTGATCCTTCTTCAGTAGTACAAAGGTTCGCACCTTGGTCTTTAAAGCCCTTTCAGGTTCTCCCCTTGCATCATTCAGATAATCCTCCTAAGGAAGCTTTTCCTCAAGATGGCCATTCTTGTAACAATTAAATTTATTGTTGAGGAGAATATAAAAACTGAGCATGTTTTCTATGAGAAACCACCTCTGCATGTTCCTTTATTTCCTTCCTTTTTCCCAAAGCAAACTCTTCCGGATTGCCCAAGCTGATCTTCTTCTCCAGCCACAAGCCATTTCACCTCCTCGTGACAAGCTGGATGTATATACACTGTATAACACCCTTAAGGCACACAGAAATACTTTGCTTCCTTTGATTCCATGGTCGTGGGGGCAAGGCAGTATTCCTACCTCTACTGCATGCCCTGCGGTTTGCATCAGCGTGGCGTAAGGGGCTCAGCACTTGCCTGAGCCACTGCATGCCTGAGCTCACGCCGCTGGGCGGTGGCCAGGGCACCTGTTGCGCAGGGTTATAGAACAGCCACGTGGACCCTTCAGGTACCTCCTCAGGGCCTGCAGGGTGCACAGCTCTGCTTTTGGGAGGAAGCTGCTGAGCAGTACCACAGTGTTGAGGACCCCCACCTTATGGCAAACAGGACTTGGGATGCTTGATGTGAAGGTTCTTCATTGAGCTAATGGACTTCTGGGGCAGCAGTCGGAGTTAATCTGCTGTTGGATGTCAGCGTCACAGCAGACCAGGAGGAGACTTTACAACAGGCGCACAGTGTTCCACTCCCTCTTCTTGTTTAGTTCTACAATGATTATGGAGACATCATCAAGGAGACCCTGAATCGAGTTCGCCAGATTGACCGGACCGAGTGGGCTCACACTCTGCTCCTCAGTCTGCAGCAGGTATGAGGGGGGAGAGTGGTGTGGTTCTTTGCGTGGTGGCTCCCTGTGGCAGCCGGTGACTGACGAGCTCTTCTCCTCCTAGCTGCTCGCTCAGCTGTTTCTGGAGCAGGGACCAGGAGGCGTTCACTCTGCTGCCTTCTTGGAGATCCGGGACTTAGCAAGGCGTTTCTCTCTGCTCTTTGGGCTGCATCAGCTACAGAATCGCCCGGCCCTTGTTGCCCTGCACAAGTGAGGATGACGCCAGTGCCTTCTCCTGTTGTAAGGTTGGGTGGTGACGGAAGGGAAGGTGAAGAGGCCAGTGCCAGTGGGAAAAGGGGTCCAGGGTTGACCAACAGAAGGGCTGGTTCCAGAGGCATCCTGGGTACCCTCTGCCTTTCTTTATCCCAGGAGTGGGATAAAGTTTGCCTTCCAAGAGCCAGCGTCCCCCAACTCCAAGCTGGGCCTTGTCAATCTGCCGTTTCTGGAGCTGCTGAGTGAGTTCTCCCCGAGGCTGCTCCCGCCTGACAAAGCCCTGCTGTGAGTGTCTCAAAGGGGGTGACTTGAGGGGGGGCATGCAGCCAGCTGGAATCAAGCGGGAAGAGTTCCTGCATCTCAACCCTAATGCAGCCTCTCTCTCTTGCAGCCTGGTCTACTTAAAGAAGATAAGTGAAGCTTTCCTTTCCTCTGGGCACGGAGAGGATTCCCACTGGGTCTCATTTCAGGCATATCAGCGTTCCCTGAGCCCTCTGGAAGATGCACCCCTGCAGCCAGATGCAGCAGAGATGAGGAGACCTGCAGCATCTGCCAAGAGGAGGCGTCTGGATGGTGGGGGGACCGACAGAGTGGGGGGCAGCAGGGGTGTTGGGTGGGGAACGGCATGTGCTGGCAGGAGGGGCTGGAGCCGTGCGTGGGAGTTGAGCGGATTTTACCTGGGCTGGGCAGGGGCTGGTCGTGTCGCTGAGGAGCTGGGTGAAAGTCAGCATTTCGCCTTGCCTTGCTAGGACGTGGTGGCGACGCCAGCCTCCCCTCCAGCAGCCGCCCACAGACCCCCCTGCTGACTTCGACCACCCTGCGAGGCAAACGCCAACCAGTGGAATTTTTGCCAGGACAGGAAGACTCCGGCTCCGAATTGGAGCTTGTGCAAAGGTAACGTGCCAGGGAGGTGCATGGCAGGGGGCACAGCTCATTGCTTCCCCCTTCCCCTTCGGAGTGTCGCACTTGCGCTGTTTGCCGCCAGCCCTGACTGGGTTCCCAGCGGAAACAGAAGGGTCTCACGCCTGCCAGCGGCGGGGAGCGGGTGGAAGGCTGAGCCCGGAAGGGTGACTGGTCAGAACCTTCCCTGTGTTGTGGGGCTTGGCGGGGGACCTTCATTTGGAGCAGAATGAAGTCTCTTCCCATGACTGTTCGTTGTCCTTGGGGACGCGGTTTCAAAGTCTGCATGAAGAAGGTTGTATGCTGTTCTACGAGGAAGGTCACTGAAGCCACGAGAAGTCTGGGCCACTTGATTTGGAGCCATGGAGGTGGATGTGACTCCTCCTCCTCTGTGGCCTCTGTGCATCACATGCATGTGGGCTTTGCCGTGGAGTGCAAGCCTAGATCTGAGAGACTTCCAGAGCTCAGCAGCACGGAGTGGACTGGAGGCCCTGCCTGCCCCTTCTGGAGGCCCGAATAAAGGGAGGGAGCCCCCGCCCAGCCCCTCAGCTCCTTTTCGACTGAACACGCAGTCACATCACCAGGCCGGAACCTCCGCTGCTCAAGCTCACACTCCTGATCTCATTCTCTCTCAGTCTCCTCCTCAAAAACAAAATCCTCTCCAAAAATATTTTTCCCCACCTTCTCTCCTTGAAATTCCCTGCTACTCCTCCCAGGCCACTCCTTGCTCTTTGTTCCCTTTACGGGCAAGGAAGGTGGATAAAGTGTTGCTTTGCTTCTTCTTTGCAAGTCTCCTCCTCAACTTGTCAAGCCACATGGCCGACCCAACTTTCCACCCCTGCGCCTCACGCGCTGCTCGCCTCCCCGCCACGCGCTCTGCCTCAGCGAGGGCTCCTTGCGGGACCTGCCGGCACTCCCAGGCTTTTAAGAAGCAGACTTGCCAGCTGCAGGCAGGTCGCCTCAGATTTGCTCTGTGGCAGCATGGCGGACGTCGAAATTGGAGGCTGGAAAAGTGCCCTCTGCCAAGGAAAGCACCTGCTTGACCAGGTGCCAGAAGAGAAGACCCCCCGATGCTGCACCACCAGCCCCAGAAGGGGCCACAGGGGCCCCTGCTGTCCCCAAGCGCAAGAAGCGCCGGACTGCCAAGTCCGCCCCCCCCCCCAAGATGCCTCACCACTCAATGACAGCCCATGCACTCCAGACCCCTGGTCCCCTTGCACAGAGCCCCCGTGCCACTGAGCCAGGCACTCCGCTGAGTGTCCAGGCTGCTCTGCTCCAGAGCAGGCTGGGGGGCTGCATCCCTAAGGGACACTTTCCTCCTGCGATGGGAGAGGACCCCATCCTATGCCTTCTTCTTGTTCCTGCTCATCACCAGTGTCTTATCCAAGATCCAGAGGAACAAGACAGACTGCATCCTGGTCACTCCGTGTAGCTGAGGCAGCTATGGTGCCCCCACCTGCTCCACGTCTCCAAACGCACCTTCCTCGGCCTACCACCCCAGCTCAGCCTTCTGCCCCAGGATGGGAGCCGAGTCTTCCACCCTGACACCAGGACTCTAACCTGGCAGCTTGGAGGATTACCAGGTGACACCCGTATAGATCCCACCAGTGGTCACCTCTGTCCTCCAGGCTGTTCTTAAGCCCTCCACCCACAAATCCTACCTTGCAATGCGACGGGCCTTTGCCGTGTTCAATCAGAAGGACTCAATCCCTCCAGCACCCCCACCAAGCACATCCTTTGCTACCTGATTCCCCTCAGGTCTCTCCCGTTGTTCCTCTGGTGCCACCTTGCAGCCACCTCCCGTTTCCATCCACCTATCCTGTTTCCATGCCCTCCCTGGCCCACCGGTTTCTCCAGGGCCTTGAAAGCCTTCGGTTCGACCTGCACTCCCTCCTGGCACCTCAGTGGTCCTCCAGTCCCTCGCAAGGCGACCCTTTGAACCCATGGCAACAATGGACTGCCGCCCCCTGTCCTGGGAGACTGCATTCCCGCTGGCCATCACGTCTGCCCACCGCGCCAGCAAGCTGGCTGCACGATGTCGCCCCGTTTCGAGCCTCCCATGGTCCAAGGTTGTCCTCCGCACGTACCCGCACATCACACTGAAGGTCACCTCCTCCTTCCATGTCAACCAGGACGTTGTCCTCCCACCCTTTTTCCCTAGTCCACCCCAATAAAGGCCACGTTCCACCTTGACGTCCACAGGGCCCTCGAGTTCTACAAGGGCCAGACCAAACCACTCCGATGTTCCATCCGCCTCCTCGTCCGCTATGGCGGCCAGAACAGGGGAGCCCACGTCTACCCAGAGAAGTTCCAAATGGGTGTCCAGCACCATCTCCCTGGCCTACGAGACGGCAAGGCTTGACCTTCCTGCCCACCTCACGCGCACGCCACGCGCACAAGCTGCACCCACTGCTTTCCCGGCCAGCATCCTGCTGCGGGATCTCTGCCGGTGCGCTCTGTAGTCCACTCCACTGACCTTCGTTTGGCGCTACCAGCTGGACGTCCACGCCAGGCGAGACTGTGCCTTCAGCAGTGCAGGCGGTTCTGCGGTCCTCGTGATGACAGCCCCTCCACCGAAATGGGCAAGCTCGCGTGTGGGATGCACAGAGACCACGAAGAAGGCAGGCAGGCCGGTCGGTCATCTGTGCATTCCCATGACCCGCCTCCCCCACACCGGCTGCTGTCAGCCCACTGTCCCCTATGCTTGGGACCAGGCACGGGGCCGAGGCGCCGCTGCCCTCTGCACATGCGCTGTGCCCTCACGTGCCTGGGATGGTGCCATCTCCAAGGCAGCTGAGCGGCTGGGCAGGAGCTCTCCCTTTGTCCAGACCTCCAGAAGGGGCAGGGCTGGGCTCCCACCCACTCTGGCGCTGAGCTCTGGAAGCTTCCTTCCGATCTAGGCTTGCGCTCTGTGGCAAAGCCCATGCACAGATGACCACTCTCGAAGAGTGGCAGCTACAAGTGAGCAAGCTGCCTTTCCCCACCCCCGGTTTTATTCCGACAACCACCCTGATGGGCTGGCGAGGGTGGAGGTGTGCCCGGAGCAAGAACTTGCCTGTCACATTCTCCGGATATTGTGTGAGGTCATCTCCTCATTCGGGTGCCTCCCGCAGGAACTAGCAGGCAGGGCGAAAGCCTTGCGCTTTGTGGAGGAGCCACCTTCACCTCCCAGCCTGGCTGTGCCCGGAGCCCACACAGTAGCGGGGCTGCTGCCGCAAGGACCTGGGTGCGGCTTGAGCTGGTGGCCCAGATCGACAGCAGCTCCTTCTGTTTGGCCCTGGGGGTACCAGAAACAGAAACGGCCCGAAGGGGCCTCCCAGCCCATCGTGCCCGGCCCCCGAAGGCAGCGCAGGCACAGGGCCGGGGAGCCTTGCGGCGGGTGTGGTAGCCATGCTGCTGGTCTGCCCAGTTCATTTTGACACGGGGCAGGCAAGGAAAGCATCCATCAGGTTGTGTCTTTCCTGCTTCGCGTCAGTGGCCACCATCGGCCGAGGACTGTCCAATTGAGGAAACATGGTCCCAGCCTCCCTAGGACCTGTGAGAACCGCCCCCTTGGTCCCTGCTCCTTCCTTACCTTTTCTAGCCAAACCTTTCCAAGTTATTTTCAGGACACCTTGCAAAGGCATGTGGGCAGCTGAAGCTCGCTGGGGAACAGCCAACTTGCGAGGAATTAAGAGACCGCACCAAAAAGGGAACAGAGTAGCCTCTCCTCGGGGGCACCCAGGCCAGGCCAGGCCAGTCTCCCTTTGACAGCCCCTTGATGAGGGGAGTCAACATGGCTTCGGGTTAGGATTATCTACTAAGTTGTATGGGAAGTTCTTTGTGTGCAAGAGCGGCTCCACAAGATCCAAGGCTCACTTTCCAGGATAGATTTCTGGACGTAACTCCAGAAAGGATGACTTCTTCCACCTCTGCATTGAAAAAACTTGCTGACTATGGCCACAACGATGCTACACAACACCGTCTGCCCTTTTCCAGGCTGGTCCTTCTCAGCTGCAAGACCAGGCTGTTCATGGTGGCAATTCAGAGAGCCACCAAGCTCCAAGGTGCAGGATGGGGGGCGAGTGGCCGGAGAGCAGCACCTGTGAAAGGGATCTTGCAGTCCTTGTCGACCGCAGGCTGAATGTGAGCCAGCCGTGGGATGTGGCAGTTCAGGTGCTGAACACCCCCCTTGGATGCATAGCCAGGCGCGCACCTTCCAGATCTAGGGAGGTGCTGATGCCGCCCTGCACGACTCTGGCGCATCCACAACTGGAGTGCTGCGTCCAGTTCTGGGCTCCACCTGAGAGGAGAGACGCAGCTAGGTTAGAATGGGTCCAGCGCAGGGTCATGAGGATGGCGGCCGGGTTGGGAGGGATGATGTGTGAGGAGAGGTTGAGGGAGCTGCGTCTTTTCAGTCTGGAGAAGGAGACTCCGGCAGGCTTGTTTAGTGACTTGTAGGTATGTGAGGGGATGCCATGTGCAGGAGGGCTGGGACCTGTTCTTCCCTGTGGTCAGGATGCGTCCCAGCGGGGCCAAGCTCAAGGAACCAGGCTTCAGGCTGGATTTCAGGAAATGCTTCCCAATGGTTAGGACCCCAAGGATATGGAATGGGCTTCCATGGGAGGTGGTGGAGGCCCCACCAGTTCAAGGCAAGATGAGACAACCACATGTTGGGGGTCACATGAGCAGAGCTGGCTGGAACTGGGGGTCAGGCTGGATGGCTCGCTCTGCTTCTGTGTCTGCAAGAGGCCCTTGCATCCTCCGCCCACGTGTGTGGCAGAAGCGAGGGCTTTGGTCTTGTTCCAGAGTTCCAACCAGCAGTTTCCTCAGGGCTCTGGCCAACCTCTCAGTCCCTCAGTCACAGGCCAGGGCATTGAAAGCCCGGCTCTTGCCATCCGGCACAGAATTTATTCATGGGGCAGCTGCTTGAGCTGGTTTCTTCAGCCCATCCTTGTCATCGGCTCACCTTCCCAGGGGCAGCTCTGCAGAAGAGTGATTCAGTCACTGACACTGAAAACCGGAGGTCTTGAGCTGTTTGTGCAAGGTTGACTCCGTTTCCTTACCAATTGGGTTTTGCAGGGCTTCCTCACATACCGGTGGCATGAGTACAGCGAATGTGAGGGTAACCGCTGGGACTTTCATAGCCGACACATTAGTGTGGCCATGGCCTCTTGGAAGCAAGCACTAGGCGAAGCCCAGATACCTGGTGTGTGTTCTGCCTGTTGAGGAGCAATGTGGTATAGTGGTTAGAGTGCTGGATTGGCAATGAGATCTGGGTTTGCTTATGAAGGCCAATGGATATTGTGTGCCGAGTACTTTCTCCCAGTAGTAACAGACCAGTGCTTCTTGCTAAATGTCTTTATTTTACTTGTAGTCTCTGAACATGTACAAAGTGGAACATTGAACCCTCTTTGGCCCCCTTCGCCCAAAGCTGTGCCCATCTCTGGAGGGAGGAGAGCTGTGAACAAGCATACCTGCCCTCCTCCCTCTGGGACCCCAACCGGGCTACGCTGCGACTGATGGCAGAGTATCCATCTGATAGACTCCCCATCTCTAAATCTCCCCCCCCCCCCCAGGATACTAGTCTTGTTCATTCCCGGTTGACTGGGCCCCTTGGCTGCCCTGAGGGGAACTGATCTCTCCCCTGGCAGGCACCGGTGGGTGTCCAGGGCCTTGGACTGCAGCAGGGGCTGGGCTCACTTCAACCACCATCTTGTTATCAGAATCTCAGTTGTTGGTCCAGCCAGACTGGTCAGCTTCTCGCGCATGCCTGGGAATCTCGCCAGGATGCGCATGCGCAACCTTGGGCTGGTCAGACTCTTGGCTCAAGCCCCGTGGCAGGGCTGTAATAGGCATGGGGGGCATTAGATGATCAGAAGGGGCAGCCACCCCTGTGGGGCAAGCTGATGCGGGGGGGGGGGACTAGAAAGCAAGGACAGTTTAATACTCTGTGCCCCCCCATGTTCCTGCCCCACAGGCCATACCTGATGGAAGCTGGAGTGGTGGTGACAGAGCCAGAGACCAGCAAGGATGAGGATGTTGTCTTTGACTCTGCTAAGGTAACAACCGAGGCGCAAAGAAGCCACCGTTAGGCCTAGTGGTGCGGCCAGCCCTTGGCTCTGCTCCCGAAGCGGGAAAGTCTCCGCTCGCTTTGTTTCCTGAGGTTCTCCAGGAGTGTGAAATGGCGAAGGGCTGGTTCGCTTTCCCCATGGGAGCTCAGACCATTTTGAGGGGGCAGCTAACAGGACTGGTGTGCGGCCACAAGACGACTCGTTTCTTCTTCGTTCCTGCAGGAGCCCTGAGGTCGTGTCCACGCTCCCCCCTCCAGTGGCTTCCAAAGAAACCTTCATGCTGCACCAGTGGGGAGCCTCAGTGTCACTGACTCGGCGTTAGCTGACAAACGTCCTGCTCTTGCTGTCTTGGGTGCTGCTCACCCACATTTCTCAGGGACAGCTGGTTTTGTGGAGTTTTAACTATTTGCCTTATTCTCTCTCCCTTTGAAAGAGGCCTCCGGGACATTTTCTGTTACACTGTTTATTAGGTTCTGTAGACGTCCTTTGTTTGGCTGTTCATTAATGCTGGTTATTATGAAATAAAGGTGCATATTGAAACAGCTGGTGCTGTCTGGGGAAGCACACGCTCTCGATCATCCCAGGGAGGGGGTGGGTCTACCCTGCACTGAGGCGGATGACGTAGGAGTCGCTGTGGGTCACGTACCGCACCCAGCGGTGAGGAAGAGTCGGCTGCGGCCCCATGAAGCGGAGGAAGCGAATCTGCAGCCCGGAGCACGTGTGAGCTGGCACCTCAAAGGAGAGGTTGACGGGGCCCAGCTCCAGCAGCCTTGCCCGGCTGAGCCCAGGCACGTCCAGCTGCAGGGGAGCAGAGGCAAAGCTGTGGCAAAGGCCGGCACCCCCCCCACAAGCCTGCGGCTCATCAACAGTCGGGGCACGGGCGCCCGCTCCCCCTTGGGCGGCGCTGCGAGGCTGGGGCCCGCCCCCCCCGCCCGCCCCTTACCTTAAACAGGGCGGAGAGCTGGGAGCCGCCCTGCACTCGAGGCACCACCCACTCGATGGATTTGGTGGTGGGCTGCAAGGTGGCCGTCTGTTCCGGGCTGCTCAGCTCCTGAGAGAAGCTGGGGGGAGGGGGAAGTCAGGGCGAGCGCGCCTCCTTGCGCCAAGCCGCCCACAGCGGACCAAGCGGGGGGGGGGGCGCAGCCCAGCAGGACCACTTGAACCTTGCTCTGGCTCACCTGAGAGTAGCCTTAGGAACGGGGAGGTGGACGTGGACGTTCACCGCGTGGCTGCAAGAGAGACGGGATTAGCCGGGGAGATGCCAGAGTGGTCTCCCGCTCTTCCTTCCTCACCCGACACGCGGCGTGCAAGACGTTTTACCTCTTGGGTGAAAGGTCACAGCGAAGCTTGAAATACACTTGCACCCTGTGAGGGAGGGAAGACGGGCAAAGTGGAGCCAAGCTCTCGCCTCACGTGCTGTTTGAACTGTACCGCAAGCGACGTGCAGGTAGCTGTGCTCACCGGCCACTGGGGTCGTGGTTGATGGTGGGGAAGAGATGGAAGGGGAGGGTGGTGGGGAGGTCATCCGCCAGCTGGTACTGCATCAGGGTCAGCTGCTCGAGAGACAGGCATCTGGTCATCAGCGGCCCTCTTTCCAGCCCCCCCTCTCCCCCCCTCTCCTCTTTCCAGCCTTACCTCCCCGTGGCTTGGGTTCACTCGAAGGATGCGGCTGCGCTCAAATTCATCCAGCCTGATGGAACTGTGGAAGGAGCATTCGTCCACACGGACTGCTGTGCCGTAGCCTAGCGAGGGTGAGAGGAGGCGATGAGGAAAGGGTGCTGCTTTGCGCGGAGGGGAAAGGTGCGAAGGCCGTGCACTCACCCCGCAGCTCCATCTTGCCCACACAAAACTCCTCGGCAAGGCCAATCCGCATCTCTGCAAGGGAAGAGAGAAACCGCACCCGTAACTGTTGCCCCCTCCCAGCAGCAAAGAGCCACCTCTATGAGCATCTTCCTCATACGGCGTGGCTCCATTGCTTATTTAAAACTTTTGTACCCCGTCCCATACATAAACGTCTCAGGATGGTCCCTTGCTAACACCACATCATCCTGTAGCTTTTTCTGTGGAGGAGGATGTTCCTTGCACAGCATTGCTGGGGCACAGTGGCTGACAGGCTTCTGTGGGATCCAGGGCCCTCCTATCCACTTGAAAGGTGCTCTGTCAAACTGGCTGAGGAGTTTGCATGGACGGGTGGTAGAAAATGTCTGGGCAGAATAATCTCAGGACTGAATATGAGGGGAACCTTGAACCCGATTCCGCAGCCATTGTCCACAGATGGAGCAGTGCTATTCAGAGCTCCCCTCTGGCTTGGTTTCCTGAAAACAGCATGGACGTATCATGACTTTTACTCACCAGAGCAGTTAGGAAAGAAGCTCTTCAGCCGAATTTCTCCTTGGATATCTGTTTTCATGGGAGTGCCCTGGGGAGGGAAAAGGCAGGCATTCAACTTCTCTGCCAGGGTTCTCTTCTCTGCATTCTCCCCACAGTAACTCACATTGGCTGCAATGATGACTGTGAGGCGTTCCACCACATCCAGGAAAACTTCTGGCCGGGAGCCCTGCGGAGAGCACAGCACGTGAGCTGGTGACGGTTACTCCAGCCCCCTTCACTTGTCAGGCGGGGCAGGGGGTTGCCTTATGCTGCAAATGTGTACTTGACACATGTCCAGACCACCAAGGCACCCGTCTCTCCAGCACCTTTGGGAAGTTTTCTTGAGCCAAGGACTGTTAAACACCTTCTCACCTCCTGCAAAGTGGAGGTGCCAGTGTGTGGGGGGGGGTGACCCAAGGTCGAGTATCTTACCTGCTCCCCACGCATGGGCAGGACAGGACGGGCAGCAGCACAACTGGGGGCTACTTTGCTTTGCTGTGTGTCTGCTCCAAACTGTAACCATATAAAAGCAAGCACAGAAACAGCACCGGGGTGAGAGCTGCAAGGCAGTGGTAGAAAAGTCCCTTCATTGAACTCTACCTAGGACTGGACAAGGCTAACGCTACGTTCAGGGCCAGCAGTGGGGGAGGGGAGGGAAAGCTTAGCTGATTGTAGGGAATATTGCAGGAAAGCAGCAGCAGCGCTGCAATGAACTCTAGGGGTGTTCTAGCTCAAACCTGCACATTGTGTAGGATGCCGCTGCAGCATCTCTGCTGAATGTTTCCAGCAAAGCAGAATTCATAATCTTCCAAGGCAGCCTGTTATCTGACGCAGCCTGTTTCTCCAGCTGGCTGCAGCCGGGGGTCAGACTAGATGGCCCGGGAGACCCCTTCTGACTTGCTCTGTTTCTGTGTTTTCTATGTTTCTCACCAGCCCTTACGCATTCCACATAAGGATGTCCTGCTCCAGTATTGGAAAAAGGCCTGTTGGCACTAATTGTGATATAGTTGTTTTCTGCTGTGGCTAGAAGGTATCCTGCCCATAACCTTGGTAGAGGACATTATAGAAAAGCTTTAAAAATAACTAACTTGCATTCTGGCAGGTTTCCTCCATTAGTTTTTCTGAAAGTATCGTTCAGTGTTTTTAATAAAGTTACTGTCGATCAGAGGCTGAGACCTTGTCTGAATGGGAAGCAGGTTGCTCTCCCTAATCCAGATGCACAATGGCAGGAGCATTCTCGCGGTGTAACGCATCAGTAACTCGAAAGACAGAAAGAAGGCCAGCCTGGCCTAACGGATTCTTCATAAACCCAGATTAGATCCTAATGATTAGCGTGTTCTCCACTACCCTCCCACCAATAGCTCAGGATTTTTACTCAGTCCCAATGTGAGGACTTCACATCCTGATGATTCCCCCCAGTAGCTCATCAATTTCTCAACCAAGATGCCATGCAGTCCCTTGTCAAAGGCCCTACCAAAATCCAGGTAAACCACAACCACTGTGTCCCCTCCGCCCAGCAACCTCCGAACCTTGTCACAGAATTCCGCAAGGTTTGTCTGGCAGGATTTCTTTCTGCAGAAGCAGTGTGTGACTGCCAACTGTCTTTCCCTATCTGGGGTTTCCAGAGCTTTCCTAATTACGAGCTTTGCCATCACCTTTCCCCAAATGGATATTAGACTAACCGCCCTTTTTAAACCAGGACCACTCTCCAGTCCTCCTGTAGTGCTCCTGATTTCCAGGAGGCCTCAATAATGAAGGCCAATGGATGTGAGAGAACCCCTGCCAATTCCCTAAGCTCCCTTGAGTTTAATCCGTCAGGACCAGGCACTTTTGCAATGTCCAGGGCTCTGAGAAGCTCCTCAATTTCTAGGGGAGTGACTCCAATCTGGTCCCCCCAGGTAGATCTCCCCCAACCTGCTTTGAGGAGAACACAGAAGTAAAACAATTATTTAACATCTGTGCCCGTTCCCTTACATCAGTTACCAGATCCCTTGCTTTGGTTTTAAGTGGTCCCGCTGCCTCTCTCTTACTGTTTTGGTAAGAGCAGAAGCCCTTTTTGTTGCTCTTGACATTCCTTGCAAGTCTCGGCTCATGATCAGCTTCAGTCTTGTGACGAATCCTTCTGCATTTGGCTGCCTCTTCCTACTCTGCCCTTTTGCCCACTTGCCCCCAGTGTCCATTTCCGGTGGACGTCCTTTTCGTTCTAGCCCCTCTTACCAACTCTCTTCTCATCCACGGTGCTGCAATTCTGTGCCTCCCCACTTTGTGCCTCTAGGCGCTCTCTTTTTCGTGCCATCCATGCCTCCTGAACTCTCTTGCCTTCCAGTGCCCTGTCAGGAATATTCTCCCAGCCCGGCCTTCAACTGACCAAAGCTGGCCTCCACGAAGTCCTATCTCCTACTGCTTGACCTGCCATTCCTCACTATTCCTTAAGACTTTTGAAACACAGAAATGAAGTGAGTCAGAAGGGGCTTCCCGGGCCATCTAGCCTGACTCCTGGCTCCAGCTGACTCTGCTCATGTAATTGTCCAATCTTTCTTTGAACACCCTCAGCGATGGGGCCTCCACCACCTCCCTTGGAAGCCCCTTCCATACCCCAGGGGTCCTAACCATCAGAAGTACTTTCTGACATCCAACCTGGAGCCTGGTTCCTTGAGCTTAGCCGCATTAGGGCGTATCCTGCCCTCCACTGGAAGAACAAGTCATGACTCTCCTGCACATGGCATCCCCTCACATGCCTACAAGTCACTGAAAGATCCCCTCAGAGTCTCCTCTTCTCCAGGCTGGAAAGACCCAGTTCCCTCCATCTGTCCTTGTATGTCATCCCTTCTAATCCGGCTATCATTCCTGTGACCCTGTGCTGGACCCATTCTAACCGTGAAGGGTGCGGCTGAATGTGGCTTTAATTGAACGAGGCATTTTAGTATAATTGATGGTGAGATATGAGTTGCCTTATGGGGCCCTGTACTGCAAAACAATGAGGGACATGAAGACCAATGCTGATAAAAAGTGATTGCAACGCAATGATGTACTAGCGATTTAAACTGATCCAGTGTGGATTCACAGGAGAAAGGAATTTCCGGAATCGCATCCAAGCGAGTGGAGGCGGCTCCTGACCCCAGACCGCTGCCACTCACCAAGCCCACGGTACTGAGGTCGAGGAGGCTGAAGTGTTGGCTCAGCACAGGCTCCATCTGGATGAAATTCTTCAGCACATCAGGGGCCGTGGTCTGGATGTAGCCATAATCCTGAAGGGGTGGGAGGAGGACATTGCAGGTGGAATAAAAATCGCCATGGGAAGAATGGAAGTGTGCGCACCCAGGGCTCAACAAGCCACGGCTAGGAAGGGAATTGATTTTTTTTAAATCAGTGGCAGCTCTTGGGAAACATCTGTTGGTCAAAACACAGGATTTGCTAAAACAAAACCACTTAAAATTGGTGGTAGCTACCCTAAAAAAAACAGAGAAATGAGGGATGGACCATTGATTATCCTCCCCAGCAACCTTCAGAAATGTCTTGCATGCAACTTAAAATTTATTACAGTCTAATTTGAATGTTTAAGAAAATTTAAAAAGCCATCTTGGATCAGAGCAATGGTCCATCCAGTCCAGCTTTCCATTCCCCACACCTTGACCGTGATCATGCCCATGCAGGGAAGGCGGGTGTGCTCGTGATCGTCATCTGATGCAGACTTCACAACCTGCAGCAAAATTTTTATGAAATTTCTGTTCGGGACCCGATTTGGTTGTGAACTGAGGCGTTCATGAGCCAAGGTACCACTGTACTCCCCTCCCCAACTTGTTATTCCGTGAAGATCGAGTCTGCTCAGATATTTTGCTATATGCTAATTTGGTTTATTATGCCCGTCATGCAGAATGCTTGCACCACTGAAATCAGGCAGGCTTCTGCTGTGGAGTGAATTCAGCCCATTGAAGACTTAGAGACAACTGTTTTGTTACTTTATAATCGTACCGATTGTGTTTATGGCGTTGCATCGCACTTTTCCCTTGTAATACTCTAAAATTTATCTCTTAAAAGGTCAAGAGTGGCACAGACATTTCTGGAAACATATCGGAATGATCTCCAATTTTGTTAATAGAAACAGAGCAAGTTAAAAGGGGCCTCCTGGGCCATCTGGTCCACAGCTCCACTCATACAATGTCCAAATAAATGATCAATGCCAGATGCAGGGAAAGGGTTCCCGGGCGGTTCCACAGATCTGCCCTGGGAGGATCCTGGCCGGGCCGTGGCTCGACGGGCACCACCCCGCCTGGTCCCTGCACTGCCCTCCGGCTGGGGGCGGGAGCGTGCAAGCGGCCCCAGGGCAAGGCAACGGGGCGGCCGCGACCTACCAGCAGCTCGTCCAGCACTTCGTAAATGAGAGCGAAGTTCAGGCTGACGGTCTTCTCGTTCAAGGCGCCACAGTAATCCCGCAGCAGCGTCACCAGCCTGGAGAGAGCAGGGTCAGCGGGGTGGCCGCGCCGAGCCCGAGCCCGAGCCCGGCCGCCCGCTCTGTTCGCTCACCTGTTGAGGAATTCGACGGCGGCGAACGGGGAGGTGCCCGGCAGCGCCGTGGCCACGAAGTAGAGCCCGGCATGCCGCACGTGGACGAAGTGGAGCCCCGGGCGCGCAGGCTGGGGAGGCAGCGGGCGGGATTAGCCGGCGGGGGGCCGCAGCGCCCCCGCCGCCCCCCCCGCTCGCCGCCCCCCCGCCGCCCCCCCTCCCCTCACCATGAAGACCGGGGCCTGGTCCGCCGGCAGCGCCGTGATTTTGCGGTAGAAGGCGTCCACCAGATCCGAGCCGCCCTCGCCGCGGACTGGGCAGGGGCCGTTAAGGAGAACCGGGGAGCGGGGAGAGCGGGCCGCGGGGGGGGCCTCGGCAGGGCCTCCCGCGTCCTTCCCGCAGCCGCGGAGGGAAGCCGTGCGCGCCCGCCCCGCCCCGCCCCGCCCCGCCGCTGCGAGGGCGAAGGATACAGTCCTTGTAAAGCAGCCGGTCCCCCTTGGACGAGAGCACGAAGACGTGCGGCAGCATCGCGCTCCGCAAGGGCCCCCCCTTGAGTGAAGCGCGGCGAAGCGACCGAGGCGGAGGCGGAGCCGCGGGGCGGGGCGCCGCTCGAGGGCGGAGGTTCGCCCGGAACCCGCCTGCAGTCACGTGGCCGCTGCTGGAAGGCGCGCGAGCAGGCGGGGCCTCTATCGGAGCCCGAGCGCCGATTGGTGGACGCGAGGCGCGCCCTCCTCCTCTCCGCGCGGGAACTGGCTGTGCTTGCCGGGCGCTGAGGTCACGTGGGCAGGCGGAAGCCTCGTTGGCGCCTCTTCCTCGGGCTGTGGCGGGAAAAGGACAGGTCGGGAAATGGCGGCGGCGAAGAGCGGCGGCGGCGGCGACTACGCGGAGGAGCGAGGTAGGGCGGCCGGGCGGCCGGCGGGGCCCTGTGCCCCCTCCCCGTCCCCGGGCCGGCTCCCTTCGGGGTTCCGACGGTCTCCCTCTCTCTGCAGCGAAGGCGGCCGCGTTCTTGGAGGGTTTCCACCGCCCGAGCGGGACTGCGGCGGCGGCACCGGCGAAGGAGTTCCCTTACCGGGAGCAGCTGGTGAGTCCCCGGAGGCTGAGCGAGGGGCCTCTGAGCAGGTACAGAGTGCTCCAGCCCGACGCCCTCACCACGTGCGCTTTCCCCCCTCCGCCAGGCGTCCGTGGCCCGGCGGGAGCAAGTGGCCATTTACGTGGACCTGGACGACGTGGCCGAGGAGGACCCGGAGCTGGTGGACGCCGTCTGCGAGAACACGAAGCGCTACGAGCGCGTCTTCGCGGACGCCGTCTGGGAGCTGCTGCCCCGCTTCCGCCCCCGGGAGGTGAGCGAGGCTTGGCCCCACGGGGGCACGGGGAGCGCCCCGCGGAGGGAGCGCCCGCCGCTCAGCGCCGCCTCCGCTTCTCTTCAGCAGGCGGCGCACAGGGACGCGCTGGACGTCTACGTCGAGCACCGCTTGCTCATGGAAGGACGGGGCCGGGAGCCCGGCCAGCCCCACGACCCCCAGAACCAGTTCCCCCCGGAGCTGCTGCGCCGATTGTGAGTGCCGCCGCCGCCGCGCCTGCAGTCTTTCCTCTGCGAATGTGTCTGTGGGTGGGGGGCCCGCATATGCGATACATGGGAGGGGCGTTTGCGCTGCGTGTGTGGACTGTATGGCCAGTTGTCTGTTGTAAAGGCCGTGGTGTTCATGCATGCTTTAGATCGATTCGTGGGTGGAATTCGCCATCCTGTCTGCCCCTCTGTATGCATTGGCTAGACAGGTGCAGCCGGCAGGGGTGCGATGATGCTGTGAGGAGAGTCACAGCGGAGGCGGGTCCATCCCTGCTGGCGCGGGACGATACCAAGCTGCTGGTGCAAGACATGCAAAGGGGGGCAGAGCAGCTTTTGAACTGAACTCCGGGGGGGAAGCAAACGGGAGCTGGGAAATGTATGACTCAGGTTAAATCATCCGTAAGGAGAAAAGATGAAAACGTTTCTGACCTGCTGAAATGTAGTTGGAGACTATAAAGCAGCTGTAATAAAGCTGAGTTTTATACACTCGAAATACTGAGAGAAACACATTTTGTATGTGTGGGTTGATGCAGTCATTAGAATTCTTCTCTCTAAAATAGGAGATTTGGAGTGCCTGATGACTTACAGTAGTCGATGGGGAATGAAGGTGGCTGCTGCTGCTTCTTAAGTTCCTTTCGATACATTCTATGAACTTAGTCATTTTTATTGGTTGAAATGAAGTTTTTCTGGATTTGCGTGTTTGTTATTTAAAATGGTTTTACATCCCATGGGTTTGATTGAGCTGCATGATTGTATGCTGTCATTTATGTTGCGTGCTGTATAATGGAAGATAGGTCTTGTGAGAGCAGTTTGCAGAGTGGCAGGTTATTGGTAGCATTAATAAAGGCACTCCATGGAGAATTCCGGCTCACCAGTGGGATAACTGCACAGTCGCCTCAGCTTGCATCATTTTTCCTCCTGGTCCTCCCTCATTCTTCTCTCTGACAGTGAACTGTACTTCAAAGCACCATCAAGCACTAAGGCCCGGGTGATCCGGGAGGTGAAGGCAGATGCCATTGGGAAGCTGGTGACTGTCAGGGGCATCGTCACTCGCGTCTCTGAAGTGAAGCCCCGCATGGTTGTGGCCACCTACAACTGTGACCAATGTGGTGCAGAGACCTACCAGCCGGTGAGTAACCGGCCCGGTGCAGGCAGGGGTGAGAAGGGCTTCTACTCTACCTCCAAGCCCACCCTCATTTGTTTTGTTGCCCCCCTACAGATCCAGGCACCTAGTTTCATGCCTCTACTGATGTGCCCAAGCCGGGAGTGTCAGACCAACCGAGCTGGTGGCCGCCTCTGTCTGCAGAGCCGTGGTTCAAAGTTTATAAAGTACCAGGAACTCAAGATACAGGAACATGTGAGTTTTGGGAGTGGGGTGTTTGCTTTGCGATTTGCATCAAAAGAAGGGTCTCTCCCCCTGAGTAGGCTCTTTCTACAGTGATGAATGGAGGCAGTTCTGCTGGGCAGCAACATGGAGCCAGGCCAGAGTCTGCCTGCCTTCCATGAGGAAATTTTCAAAACTGAAACTGGCCAGTTGTATCTGGGTCACCTGGCTCTTTGCTCCCACCTGGTGAAGACTGATCAATTAACATCTCTCCTCTTGCACAGGAGTCTGTAGCTCTTTCCTTGGTATTGCTTCCTCTAGGGCAGTGGGGCGAACCTATGGCACGTGTGCCACAGCGGGCACGCTGAGCCCTCTCTGTTGGCACGCGAATCAAGTCACCCCAGCAGCTGAGCACTGGATTAACAGCGTACATGGGGGCCATGCACATACTTGAGAAAGGACTAGTGGTGCCAGGCAATGAGGTCGCAAGCCATGACTCATTAGACGCGACTTGTCCGAGCTTTTGCGTGGCCGGTCAGTGCACTGCCAGGGATATATATATATATTTGCTTGGACAAGCTGTGAGTTGCTTTTTCTAAACTAAAACCTCAGTTTCCAGGGTTTATTGCAGTATTTGCACTTTGCGATGAATAAGAGGGTTTTGGTTTGCAGTTTGGGCACTCGGTCTCTAGAAGGTTTGCCATCACTGGGCTAGGGTTAGAAAAATGAGGTGTTCTGGCATGATTTGGATGGTTGGAACGCGTTTAGAATGGGCAGAAATGGTGACCTGTGCCGAAAAAGCTACTCAAGGAGACTTTTTCGAAATCGCCCTAATTTCAATGGAACTTTTGCCGTATATTAGAATTAGGGGTGTGCACCAGGGTAGGATTAGGGTTAGAAAAACAAGGTGTCCTGGCATGGGTTGGATGGTTGGAATGTGATTCGAAGGGGCAGAAATGTTGAGCAGTGTAGAAAAAGCTACTCAAGGGTTTTTCAAAATTGCCCTCTTTTCAATGGAACTTTGGCCCTATCTTAGGGTTAGGGGTGTGCCCCAGGGTAGGGTTAGGGTCAGAAAAACCAGGTGTCTTGGAATGAATTTGATGGTTGGAATGTGTTTAGAATGGGCAAAAATGTTGAGCAGTTTAGAAAAAGCTGCTCAAGGAATGTTTTTTCAAAATCGCCCTCTTTTCTATGGCGTTTTACCCTGATGTTAGGGGAGGGTTTGGCCAGTGGTGGTAAACCTCTGGCACGCTTGCCATAGTGGCCATGCAGCGCCCCCTCTGCTGGCGCACCAGCCAAGTCACCCCAGCAGCCAAGCTTCAGACAACAGCTCACACACTGGCCATGTGCGTACACAAGCCACAACTCATCAGCTGCTACTTGTCCGAGCTTTCGTAATGCCGGTCTTTGTACTGCCAAGTTTCAGGTTTTATTGTTGTGTTGGCACTTTGTGACAGTTAAGTAGGTTTTGAGTTGCAGTTTGGGCACTTGGTCTCTAAAAGGTTCGCCATCACTGCTCCAAGGAGAAGAAGGTGGTTCCTTCGCTTGTGACAGGGGGACTTGTTCCCCCACACCAACCGGCTTGTGACAGGCCAGGAGCTTTTGTCTTCCAGGAATGTCCCTGTGGACCAGAAACGTTGGGAAGTGGGTGGGCAGCAGGGTCTCCTTGTCCAGCTAGAGTAGAGCGAGACTCGAGGTTGAAACGCTCTCCCTGCTCCTCAAGGAAAGTGCTTGTGGGGATGGGTGGTGAGGTGGCCTTCCAATCAGAGTAGGCTCTGGCCCTGACCCTGAACTAGACAGTGTGGGTCATTGACCCAGTACCAGTTAATTTTTTTGCACTTTCAGTTGTGGTCATAACTTAATTAGAAATAACATTTTTAAGTGTCCCAAGAATTTGGGGCCGTGGCATGGAAATCCGGCTTGATATAGATCGGCAAGCTGCATCTTTAGGAAAGGTTGAGGACTGGTTCTTGGCTGCCATCCGGCTACCTCTGCCCTGCAACTGACCGAGGCCAGGAGAAAGTATTCTCCTGAGTGAGGTGGCGCAGCTAGGTTGCTCACTTAATGATGCAGATTGATACTCGTTGTGAATCACCTGGAGAGCTTTGGCTGCGGATGGTATGGAAGAGGCTGGCTGGCCTAGAAGGGGCAGGCCCCAAGTTGGTGAGGGACTTTGGAATCAGCCCTCTTCCTTTAGGTGCCCACCGGAAAGGGCATGAGGACCCTGCTCCCCTCGCCCCTGACACAGCCGTTTCCTTGCTTGCAGAGTGACCAGGTGCCGGTGGGGAACTTGCCACGCTCCATCAGTGTCAGCGTGCAAGGAGAGAACACCCGCCTTGTGCAGCCGGGTGACCACGTCAGCGTGACTGGCGTCTTCCTTCCAGTCCGGCAGATGGGCTTCCGCCAGCTCCTACAGGTGGGAGATGAGCTTGTGGGGGGGGGGTGGCAGCTCTCCTGGGGTGGTTCTAGGGCTGAGCACGCGGTTTGGTGTGACCTCAGGGCCTTCTTTCGGACACCTACCTGGAGGCCCATCACATCGTGTGCGTGAGCAAGAGTGAACAGGAGGAGCTGGGAGAAGGGGACCTCACCGAGGAGGAAGTGCAGCAGATCATGGGTGAGGCAGTTTGCTCCTCTCTACCGCTGCTCTTTAACCGCTGCCAAAAAGGAACCCGGAATTTGCACGGGTGGGTGACTTTCAGGATGTAGATGCTTGATGACTTAGCCAGTCGCATTTAGGGTTCAAATGCTTTTGACGGACTCCCTGTGGAATGTGTTCAGCCAGGTGAAAAGGGCCCTTCCTTCGACTGGTCACGAGGAAGAAGCCTCCAGAGTGTCTGCACTGAAGGCTAGTGTGGTTTCTATACCTTGCATTTGGACCAAGGAGGCAAAATGTATAGGTTACACCCAGTCAGGGCTGAACTGCAGATTATGATGCTAAGCATTCATTTTAACGGAAATACTACGTTTACGTTTCTCTTCCACCCCAACCCCTTTTTGGGAAGAGGCTGCCCTGGTCGCCTCTGCATAGTCCAGTGCTGGTACTGCCATGTGGACATGTGCACTTGGTGATCTCTTGCAGAAGAAGACTTCTATGACAAGCTGGCTGCATCCATCGCACCAGAGATCTATGGTCATGAGGACGTGAAGAAGGCGCTGCTGCTGCTGCTGGTGGGGGGCGTGGACCAGAACCCCCGGGGCATGAAGATCCGTGGTGAGACTCGTGGCTGCCCGCAATTTCTCCTTCCAGAAAGCGTGCACAAAAGCGCCGTCCGCTGAACTGAGTAGCTTCCTTTCTGTTTCGCGTTCGCCCTTAGTCTCCCTTGGTTTCAGCTGAACTCTGAGATCCTTTCACCAGAAGCTGCATGGCGAGGGCAGGGGCAGGACAGGGACCGGCTCTGGCGTGCCGTGGGGCCTCTGCTCCCCACAAGCACTGCTTTGGAAACTGTGCCCGATTAATGGTACCTCTCTCCCCGCCCACGCACCTTTCCTCAGGGAATATCAACATTTGCCTCATGGGGGACCCTGGTGTGGCCAAGTCTCAGCTGCTTTCATACATCACCCGCCTGGCGCCACGCAGTGAGTACCACACGGGGGTGGCAGCGGCAGCCCCTCCCTAGGAGTTACGCATAGGTTGTATTTCTACCCTTGGGCATCCCAAAAGCTGTGGGGGGTGGGCAGGTTACTGGAGGGCCAATGGCCGGAGCTTCAGAACCTCAGACAGATGCATGCTGGGCCGCTCACCCTCAGGGCTGGGGGCAAATGGCTGTCCTATGAAAAGCTGCACCCGCCCGCCCTTCACGCCTTCCTCCTGCCACTGTGTGGTAGAGAGGTGGCAGGAAGAAGTCCTGGGGCCATTCTGGTGGGCTCAGTCTTGAAGCAGCGGGTGGGAGATGGCCCCTTCTGTGCCATCCCTGCAGGCCAGTACACCACGGGCCGTGGCTCCTCGGGCGTGGGGCTGACGGCGGCTGTGCTGCGTGACCCGTTGACCGGGGAGCTGACCTTGGAAGGAGGGGCACTGGTGCTGGCCGACCAGGGCGTCTGCTGCATCGACGAGTTTGACAAGATGCTGGAGTCCGACCGCACGGCCATCCACGAAGTGATGGAGCAGCAGACGCTCTCCATCGCGAAGGCAGGCATCCTGACCACGCTGAACGCCCGCTGCGCCATCCTGGCCGCGGCCAACCCCGCCTACGGGCGCTACAACCCCAAGCGCAGCTTGGAGCAGAACATCCAGCTGCCTGCCGCCCTTCTCTCCCGCTTCGACCTGCTCTGGCTGATCCAGGACCGACCCGACCGTGACAATGACCTCCGGTGAGGGGGAAGAGGTGCGGGGGGGGGGCTTCCCTCGCCCGCACCTGGCCACCATTCTGGCTGAATGACTGACTCTGTGTTTCCTGCAGTCTTGCCCAGCACATCACTTACGTGCACCAGCACAGCCGGCAGCCGCCCTGCCAGTTCCAGCAGCTCGACATGGGCCTCATGAGGTGAGTGGGCGGGGCTTGCCGTACGAATGGCTGGCTCAGGCTGAGCGGGGAGCTTTTGTCCCCTGTGACCAGCCAGGAGACTGGGCCGCTGCTGCGGTCCCTGCTCAGGCCCGTTTCGTGGTCTCCTCGCAGGCGGTACATAGCTCTGTGCAAGCGGAAGCAGCCAGCAGTCCCAGAGGCGCTCGCGGATTACATCACGGCAGCCTATGTGGAGATGCGGAAGGAGGCCTTGGCCAGCAAGGACACCACCTACACCTCGGCCCGCACCCTGCTGGGCATCCTCCGCCTGGCCACCGCACTGGTGAGCAAGGCGGGGGGCAGGGAAGGGAATGCAAGGGACGTCTGTTGGCTGGAGGCCTCCAGGCCTGCCTCCGTTCTGGTGGGAAGGGCGGTCAAAGGCAGGGAGGGCTGGATGTTCCCATGTGAGTCCTGGCAGCAGGATCCCCCCACACACTCTTCCAGTGATCACTTCCGGTGATCACTCATTTCGGGTGTCGCACTCAGCACACCTGGAGTGAGTGATTTGCACGGAGGGCAGGGGAGGCTATCTTTTAAAGTGTTTTCTAAGCAATGCTCTAGCTGGGAGGCTGCTACTTGCGTAGCCTTCATGCAGCCTGAAGTGCCTGATGTTGAAAAACTACGCAGGGCAGGGCTGGTTGAAATCTAGACGGCCAACTTAAAATGTGATCCTCCCAGAGAGCTTTGGCTGTGGGTAGTATAGAAGCAGAATCCGCAGAGTACAGGCCCTCAGCGCTGCTTTTTTTTCTAGGGGTGCAGAAAGGAACCCGGGACTTTCCCTCTGTCCAAACGTTGGCTATTTTTCTTTCTGTTTTGGTGGTGTATCTGCTTCTCCCGAGTTTGCATTTGTTTTGTTTGTGTGGTGTTTGGGTGTATGATGTTCTCAAAGTGTTTTGTCTACTGAGAATATTCTGTTGTGTTTTGGGTAGACAAATGTGATCCAGAATTTGGGGATCCGACCCTGCCTCTAGAACTAGATTTGCAAAGGCCCATTTCTGCCACTGAGTTCAACCTTCTCTCCGGTGCTGGAATCCAGTTTAGCTCATGCCTGGCCCGTGGCTTGAACACTCCCAGTGGCAGAGAGCCCGTCTTTTCCCTGGCCTGTTGTTACCATTGCCTGATTGCTTTGCCCATGAGCAAGATTTCCTAGATGGTAGAAAAGTAAGAGTTGTAAGGGGTCAGAAAGCCATCAGGTTGCTCCTCCTGCCCAGTGCTGGACGTAGAGTTAAATTATCCCTCTCGGATGACTGTCCAGCCGAGTGCCTTGTGTGGGAGAGCCCACAACCTCCCCGGGTCATTGATTCCATTGCTGTACTACTCTAATGGTGAGGATTTTCCCCCCAATAGCTTGCCAGAATCTGGCTTCCTGGAACTTGAGCCCACGTCCTGTACTCTGGGGTGACAGAGATCCTGTCCTTCCTCTTGGTGACAGCCTTTCAAGGACTGGGAGAGTACTGTCATATCTCCCTTCAGTCTTCTGTACTCAAGACTAAACATGCCCAGTCCTCTCCCTCTCTCCTCACAAGACTTTGCTCCAGTCCCTGCATCATCCCCGTTGCCCTCCTCTGAACCCTTTTCAGCTTGTCTGCATCTTTCGTAAGTGGCGGTGCCCAGAACTGGGTGCAGGACTCGAGATGAGGCTCAACCAGTGCCGTGTAAAGAACTATGATCCTGGAAGTGACCGTTCCATTAATGCAGCCTAAGGTAGCATTTGCCCTTTTTGGCAGCTGCATGACATCGTTGACTCATGTTCAGCTGGTGATCTAAAGCATTTCTAAAATCCTTCTCTCTCACAGTGCTGCTGAGCCAAGTCTTCCCCAGTGTAACGCCCAGACAGCAAACACTGCACAGACATAGCGGGTCACTGCTGGGATGCTTCTCAGTCCGTTCTTTTGATTCTAGCCCTCGGCCTGTTGAGACAACCACTGCTTTTTCTCGCCTTCCCTGAAGGTTACCGACACAGTTCTACCAGTAAATGAGTGTTACAAGGAAGAAAGCAAATGGGGACAGGATACTAAGGGGAAAAAGGAAAAATAGGGACCTCCCCCGCCAAACCACTGTGGGCTTTCCCTGCTTGTGTACTCTGATGCCTTGCTCTCTGGGGGCTTGGCTGCTTGTAACCCTAGACCAGCCGGGGCTGATTTCTCTGCTCCTGAATGAATTTATTCTGCTTTATATTTACTTAATTCAAAATACTGAATGATTGACTTTCCAGTGCTAGCCTTTGTATTGAACCTGCTGTGGACTTTGATTGTCATGTCTGTTAAATTATTTGGTCCTGGAATAATTGTGTTTCTTTCATTTGGTTGGCTTCATGAAATTCTATAAGTTGTTCTACTTTGAGGTTTATCCCCAGGCCAAATTCTCCCACAACTTTGGGTTCTGCTTTCATTATCTTTGCTGTTCTTCTCTGAATGAGTTCTAGTTTATCTGAATAGTTCTTAAAGTTTGGTGTGCAGCGCAGGACAGTTTTCAACAAGAAACCCGACTATTGCAGAGTCAAGAGGAGCAATTGTAACACCAGGCTGCAACTGACTTGCCTTTGCCTTTTGCGCGGCTCCCCCACACTGGCTCCTGTTCGACTCCTGACTTAAGGGTCCCTTTTGCACTTACTGTGTCAGGCCGGCACATCCTATCATGCCTGCCCATTGGATTTCCCTTTCCTGATACCGGCTCGGCACTCTTCTTGTTCCATTTCAGTCTATTGGTTTCCGCCCAGTTTTCAGGATCTTTTTAATTGCCTTTCTTCCAGCATAGTAGCTATCTCTGTCTCCCACCACTGGTTTTGTGGCATCTGCCAAGCTGGTGGAAGTATTTATTCGAGCCTGCCCTCTTTATTCGAGTCACTAACAAGCATGCTGAAGAGGAAGAGGATCGAGAGCTGTGGCACCGCGGTAAAAACATCCCTGCTGTTTGATGACGTGCCAGGCAGGAGCGCACGACGGTCCTCCAGCCTGCTGCGAATCTCTGTAGCAGTGGGTTCCCCAGCCCGTACTTCACTTGCTTGCTAATCGCAGTATCAGGGGTACTTTGTCAAATGCATCGCTGAAGTCAAGGTGTATTATGTCCACAGCATTTTCGCGGCCTATGAAGAATGTTTCTGCCGCAGAGAGCGCAGTGGGACGAGCCTGCTGCATTGGGGCCTGGCTGCTTCCAGTCATGGCAGCACCCGTGTCAAGACCCCTACAGATTGCGCACCCTTGAAATTTCCTAGGTGATGTCAGACCGACAGGCCTATAATTTTGCTGTTTATGAAAAAAGGGACATTTGTCCTTATTAGATGGCAATTTCACTGCGAGTTCCTTTTACTTTCACTTGATCAACTAACGTATTGATCAGAATCAGATCAAGAATGCCCAGTCTTCTCATTCTTTGAAGGAGAAAGTTGTCAGGAGTTTTCCAGAGACTGCTTGGCAAAATTTTCTACCCAAGAGGCATCAGGGTAAATAAAATCCCTCATTTTGACCATTTAAATCTATAGATTACTTCTAGAAGCTCATGCCCATCCTCTCCTTTGGTAAAAGAATCCAACCCTCAAAACTGTTTTTATTCCTTTCTCTGTTCATTTTAGCCTTTTGAATAAAGCTGCCATGTTCACTCTCCTGAATTTATGTGCATTTCTAAAGTACAGTGCAAGTCTCCCCACCCGTCTATGGCTTCTGGCGTTTATATCCTTTCCTATTCACAGAAGTCATCCCCCCAATGCTCAGTTATGCTTACTAAATTGTATTCACCTTTAATCAAGAGTTCAGACTCGTCCTGTTTATTTTTCATTCTCTGAGCAGTAGTATAAAGGCACTGAAAGCCAGGAAACTTAAATGACTGTGCATTTTTATCAAGAGCTTTACCTGGCCCTACGGCAGGGGGTCTCCCTGTACCTGCTACTGTCCTGGAGCCTTTCCCTCTGGCCTTTGGTCTCCACCCGCCACAAGATCTAACTTAACGCCTTATGGATCAAGCGCGCCGTTCTTGGGGCACAAACACCTTTTTCCCCAGTCTTTGTGACATGCAGTCCGTTTTCATCCAAAAAGTCACAGAACCAAATACCTCCTGGGTACTGCAGAATCCTTTCTCTTCTTTTATAGCCTGGAGGGAGGGAGTCCCAAAGCCCTTAGGCTGCCTTTTTAGAACTCCATAATCTGACATGTGCCATTATAGCCTTGCTTCACAGAACTGCTAGTTCCCATGTAGATAAGCAGGTGGGGTAGCCATATTGGTTTCGATGAATTCTGGCAGCTGTCCTCTATCTCCGGTTCCAACGCACCCCCTGAGCCAGTGGGCTTGTGACTGGGGCTGCTTAGATCTGTCTCAACACTGGGCTTTTTTGAGGTTTTGCTTGTGCTCATCCACACATTCAGACCGAATGCAGCACTAGCGACGGAGACACGCTTGATCTCTGCAGTTATGGACCTTGGTGGAAAATCCGAATGTGGCGGTTGCGTGACAGAGGGCGTTTATCTCGCGGTCGGCACTGGCATAGACCCGCCTGCTGAGGGCAGGACTGCTGAACTTTTCCTTTCATTCAGGCACGGCTGAGGCGTGTAGACTTGGTCGAGAAGGAAGATGTGAACGAGGCAATGCGTCTTATGGAGATGTCTAAAGACTCGCTTTTGGCAGACAAGGGGCAGCCAAGCCGGTAAGATGCTCTCCCCACCGCAGCACAGCCCCCTTGCCGCAGGGGAGCACTCCTTGAACTGACTTTCCCCTCCTTCTTCCTTGCTGCCCAGGGTCCAGCGTCCCTCTGAGCTGATCTTTGCAGCCATCCGGGAACTGGCTCCAGCTGGAGGGACTCGCTCTATACAGCTCGCCGAGGCTGAGCAACGCTGCATTTCAAAGGGTTTTACTCCAACCCAGTTTCAGGCTGCTCTCAGTGAATATGAGGAGCTCAATGTCTGGCAGGTGAACCAGAGAAAGACCCGTCTCACTTTCGTCTGATCTTTCATGGACTGCGTGAGGCAACTGCGTTCTAATGTTACTGGGACCTGGTAGCAGCAGCTGGTCTCCACAGGGACTGCCTCCTGCTCGCTTCTCTTTTTAAACTTGATTTGTTTTCCGCAAATAAAGTTGCTTGTATCTTTTAAGAGTAGCTGCCACCTTTTCCAAGGTAAAATGCAGAAGATTTCTGCTGTCAGGCTTAGAACTATGCCTGACAGAAGGGCTGCAGTGCTGCTCCTTGCCTGCCATCTCCAGTGCCCGTATTTTGCTTTCCTAGGTGTGTCGTCTTTTAACTTCAAAGTTCAAGCTGACATATATAATCTGTTCCTTGCACCAAAGGCTAAGGTTAGTTAGCTGAGTGATAGTGCTGTATTGGACAGGGCTGCAGCTAGTAAGCCTAGATAGGGAAGGGATGCAGTGGCCAAGAGGGCAAACGCCACCCTTGGTTGCATAGCCAGAAGTGTGGCTTCTAGATCAAGTGAGGTATTACTGCCACTCTATACAACTCTGGTGCTCCCGCAACTGGAAGATTGTGCTCAGTTTCGGGTCCCTCATCACAGAAAGGATATAGCCAGGTTAGAGTCAGTGCAGCGTAGGGCCACAAGGATGGTGGCTGGATTGCAGGGAAAGCCATATGAGGTGAGACTGGGGGAACTGGGTCTCTCCAGCCTGGAGGAGACTCAGAGAGGATCTGTTGGAGACACACAGGTTATATGAGGGGTGTCACACGGAGGTGGGTACCTCCCACCCCTGTTCTCCCCTGCAGAGGAGGGTAGGACACACTCCAGTGGATCCAAGCTCAAGGAACCAAGGTTCAGTTTGGATGCCAGGAAGCACTTCCTGACAGGACCCCCAGGGTGTGAAATGGGCTTCCATGGGAGGCGGTTGAGGCCCCATTGGTGAGGGTGTTCAAGGATAGGCTAGACATGCACATGGTGGGCATGTCATAAGGGGAGCTGGGGAGTCAGACTAGATGGCCCGGGAGGCCCCTTCTGACTCATTCTATTGCTATGTTTCTAGTGCCTAGCTGTTTGCATCTGACATGTCCTCTTATTAAACCTAAAAGCCTCAACCACTGCAGCTTGTCTTCACAGAGAGCTTGCTCTGGATCCCTTATGTTGGTTCTTTGCACATTGCACCTTCAGGAATCCTTTTTCATGCCTCCCATGGCAGCCATTTTGCAGAGGTGGCCACGACTGACACCTGAGCTGTGTGAAGGCAGGCTGCTTCCCCCAGCAGTGCAGATCACTGCCGTTCGACGTCCGACCGTGCGGGTTGCTCTGGCGTCATCTGCACGGGCAGGACTGGAACCGACAGCTGGTGTTGCAGGAAGCGTGACTTCAAGGACAGCACTAGGCCACACCCCCCCCCATGGCAAGCGCTGCTCAGCAGGGGGCCTGCCAGGTTTTGCTTTGCTGGCGGGACCTCGGCACACGGGATGACAGCCGCACCCTGCACTGAGCAAGAGGATGGACAGGCTCTAAGGCGCCTTTCAATTCCATGACTGCACGATTCTGAACTATAAAACGCATGAAATGTTCCTACTGCAGATTCTCAAGGGAATGAGGAGGGTATAATTACCAGTGTGTTTCTGCAGGCCGTGGGTGCAGAAACCTGTGGTCGGCTTCCTGGTCTGGAACCGATGAGACGGCACAGGGCCCCGGTGTGCTAGCAAACTGCCTACACCTTCTCTTGGCCCACGGCCCCCACTGGGGATGGAGGGACATAAAGCAGAGGGTTCCCTTCAGTTTACTGACAAGGACGGTTTACCTACACAGGTCAAAGTGGTTTCAATGGGGAAGAGAAGGGTTTAGACCCACTTCCCTGATGTTTTCCCCAGGGGCCCATTTAGCTGCTTGTACTCCTGCAGTGTCAACACTTTGCGCATGAAGATAGCTGGGGAAGGCCCTTAAACTGGAGCAGCTTAGCAATACTAAGTACAAGTTCTGTTCGTGGCCTCTCCAAGAGAACATCAGAAGTGAGGAAGATCTAGAAAAGGCAGTCAATGCAGTCAGTTGGTTCTGAACACCAGAAAAGATCCATTCTAATGTAGCAATGGCTTCTACACTGGTAAGCAGAAGTGGACAACAGCATGTTTATATTCAGCAGAATTACATCTCTTTGACGCTTCCTCGGCCGGATCCTGAAACTGAACAGGCTCTGAGTAGAACGGAGTGATGCTACTTTTGACGGCTGGCTTGAGCACCTCCCTGCAACCACACGCGTGACACACAGCGCCTCTGGCAGCATGACCATTTTATTAGGCCGTGCTAGAACACCTCAGAAGAAGAGTCCCCGCATCCGGCGGCCGATGCCCTGGCGGTCGTAGAGGATGTTGAATTTGTTCACAAACTGGTTCATGGTGTTGCACGTCTTGGTGATGGTGCCCAGGTAGGTCATGAGGCCAACATCGTTGCATTGCTAGAGGGGAGACACGGATGCATGAGGAAGCAAGCCGAGCGAGCTCCCTGGGACTTGCCAGCTGTGTCGCTAGCACAGCGCTCCTCTGCCCCGCCTCGCTCCAGCCATCACAGACAGCAGTGGTATTTGCCAGCAGCACACGTGGCCTGACTGGGAGGGACTGGGGCCTAAAGGCAGTGCACAAGTACCCAGCTCTCCGTGGAAGAGCAAAACCGTTTTCTTACCTCTTTACTAGTTGGACTTCTTGATGAAAGTGCTATCTATAACTCTAAATTTTTACAGAACATATTAAATCATGCCTCTGGCCCAAGGGAAGTACAAAGCCTCAGACTAATGGGGATAGTGCCCACTCGCTCCTGCTTTGCATGCCCCTGCTGCTCTTGCCAGGTGAGACACCGCCAGGTGACCCTCCCCTCCCAGACACTCACATCATAAAAATCTGTCTTGAACTTATCTGTGCTCAGCACAGGTAGGCAGTGGCAGAGGGCGTAGGCTTCACGCAGGATCTCGTGGTTGAAGGGCACCTCACCTGCATGCAGAGACACTCAGGTTAGAAAAGAGACAGGCACCCTCTCCCGCCCTAACCCCTCTGCAGGGCAAAAGCACACAGATCAAAGCTCCCGTGCTACTTCACAGCTCACTCACCTGCTTCGGAGGCTTTGACATACTCCAAGATTAGTTTGACACGGCTGTGAAGCATCTTTATGGCACTGTGCTGGGCTATCAGGTGCTCAGCCACTGCAGAACACAGAAACGGGAAAGGCCACGTTGGGTCAGACCAAAGGCCCACCTCATTCAGCATCCACGCCCACGGTGGGAAACCAGCTGCCCAAAGGAACCCTCAAGGAGGATGGCACAATCCAAGCTCCTTAGCAACGGGTGCTTGCAAGCATGCTGCCTCTGCTGAAAGAGGAAGCGTTTAGCCAGGAAGACGAGTAACTAGAGTGGGTTTGATTTAAACGAAATGGATTTAATGCACTGTTGTCATGATTTAAGTCACTAGTCAGTAACACTAGTTTTAAATCATGGTTTTGAATGCCGGCCGGCCTGCCTGCCTGCCTGCCTTACCCATAGAGGGACTTCATTAAAATAGTTGCAAGCTGGGTCTCTTTTACAGCCTGCTGCCATTATAGGTTTTCTTCTCCAGGGAAAGAATTATATGCTAAACCTCAGGCTATACACAAAGAGATCCAAAAACTCATGGAGTATTCTGCTCAAAAGGCTTCTCTTTCATTTTTAGTGCTTGCCCAGAACTCAACAACCTTCTATTCATTCAATTTTTTGAAACTTCGCACTTAAGAGAGGTTGAATCTGGGTACATAAATTTGCAAAGGCGTAATGGGATTAAGGCCTTTCTCTCAACTCTGTATGTTTATTTTATAACATTTTTTTTGCTGTGAAGAAGAGGCGTGTGATCTCTGCAGACACAAATTCAGAGTTTTGAGAAGTGTAAAACCAAGCATCTTCTACAGTATCTTTCAGACAGAAAAACTGCACAATAATCTTACAGAAACCTCTGGAAGAGCATGACATTGTGACTGGATTAATGGAATTCATTTACCAAAAATTTTACACATCATATGCTACATCATTAAAAAGTATCTTAAATAGAAATTGTATTTTTAAAAATCCAATTTATTTTTTTTTAATTATCCTTCCTGCTAGTAAAGACTGATAGCCTCTTCTCCCATGAATCTGTCCAGTCCCTTTTTAAAGCCATCCAGACTGGCAGCCATGGCAGCAAATTCCATAGTTTAACTATACTGTTGTACAGTGGCTTAGAGTCTGTGGTAAGCCACTTAAGAGATTCCTGTTGGAATAGTTTGGTGACATACAATTGCATAAATACATAAATCATTGAATCAGAATAGTAGAGTTGGAAGGGGCCATGAAGGCCATTGGGTCCAATCCTCTGCTGTTCCAGGTCACCAATTTACGCCATCCCACTGGCTGTCCAGTTTTGCCTTGAATGCTTCTTCTGTAGGAAACCCACTACCTCTCTAGGCAACTGGTTTCATTGTTATATTGTTCTGACAGTGAGGAAACGTTTCCTGTTATCTAATCTGAATCTGGGTTGTCACAGCTTGAACTGATTCCTACACTCTGTCCCACACTCTGGGATCAGCAAGAAGAGATCTTGACCTTCCTCTTTGTGACAGCCTTTCAGGTACTCATAGAGGGATATTATGTCCTTGCTCAGACTTCTCTTCACAAGGCTGAACATGTCCAATTCACTCAGTCTCTCCTTACAGGGCAATGTTTCCAAAGCCTGGATCATTTCTGTTGCCTTCCTATGGACCCTTTCTAATTTTTCTGCCTCTCTTTAAAACCTTTAGTGTCCAGAACTAGACATGGTATTCCAGATTATTGGAGTAAATAAACACTGTATTAAGAAGTCCCTTCATCTGTCCTGAACCTTCCCCTAAACAGCTTCATGGGATGTCCCCAGGTTCAGTTGTTATTCTCTGCTCTGTGTGAAATACTGAACACCACTGCCATGTCTCCCCATTTACCTTTTTCTAAGCTGAAAAGTTCCAGTTGTAGCCGCTACTCATAAGGAAGGTGCTCCAGTCCCCTGATTATTTGCACTGCCTTTCCCTGTACTTTTCCCAATTTGATAACATTCCTATTCAGGTGAGGCAACCAGGACTAGGCACAATATTTGAGTATGGTCGTACCAAAAGACAGACTCCTGGGAGACTGGCCAGTATGAGCTGCCAATCAG